CAATCTAGCGGGTCATGTCCACCATTTTACAAAAATGAAATAGAATAGGAAAAAGAGTGCATATAGGAAAGGTAGGTGTTATTTTGTTAAATTTTTATTTCATATATGAACTGGGTCTTGATATAAAATGTATTTCTTACTATGAGTTATGGTTTAAAAGAAAATGCTCTGAAAACACTGCTTAAGAGAAACTCTCATACATAAGAACAACGAGACATGTTTGAGGATGTTCCCTGCAAGGTAGTGTTTATAATAATGAAATGTTGAAAGCAACGTAAATGTCTATTGGTAGCAAACAGATAAAAAAATTGGAGTGTATTCACGTGATGGAACACCATACAGTAGCTAAAATTAAGGAACTTGGTCTACATGGATGAATTTTGAAAACAAATTTGAGGGAAACAAAAGGGAAAAATAAATGCCACATGAAACCAATTATATGAATTTTAAAACATTAAAATATACCATATACTATTTGTTTATATATATAAATTTTTATATATATATTCAAATATATATATGTATTCAAAGTATTGAAATTAGACTGAAATAAAGGGGATACCTAAAGAAAGAAAAGGAAATGGGACTTGGGAGAAAATAGGTATGATTCTATTTATTCATTTTGGGTGGTGGATACATAGATGAATGTTATAGTATTTTTTGTTCTTTTCCTTTTAAAATATTTTTAACATAAGAAAAAAGAAAGGCAATTAAGAAGTTTAATCTTGCTCAGAATTCTGAGAGATTATCATAAAATTGTATTAACCATTGGTTATTAAAACTCTTTCATCTTGGGATTGTTTTTTTCAGTGCCTTAGGAAGAGTAACCTGTCCCGAACCAGCCTGTCAAACACAATGAATTATATCTAAAGGCGGCAAGTCCTTGCAGTTATTATCTCTCCTAGCAAAAGGGATTTATTTTTCCCTGAAGTTTCAGTCTTGCCTATCTTTGCACATGCTGTTCCCTCTTCCCAGAAAGACCTTCCTCCTAGTACTTGTCTGCAAATCAGTCTAGACCTGACTTCTCTTCATCTGGATGCCCACCATCACCACCAGAATTTACACATTTATTACTCTTTTTTTTAACTCTCACTGTACCTTGGACATTTCTCTGTTACAGCACCTATCACACAATAGCACAATTATTTTTGAATGTCAGTCTTCTCTACTAAACCTCTGAGCTTGTTGAGGGAAAGGCTTTCCCCTTATTTGCTTTTCTTTTCCTGGAACCTAGCAGAGTGGCTACAAAGCAGTTCCTCAAATGTTGCCAAAGGAATAGCAAATGCTGATGACAAGCTAAATGACATATGACTTTGGGGAGCTCAAATCTGGTTCCCATTTATTGCACCACAAATCGGGGACCACTTAATCTTATTGCACCACAAGTCTGGGTCAGCATTTTGGAGCAGTCTGGTGTTTCCTCACTATTTCTTGTCCAGATCCTTATAGTAACCTTACAGATATCCTTAACCTCCAGTCTCTTCCCATTGTAATCCATCCTGGATACTACTCCAGACTAATTTTTACAAAACATCACCTTCATCTTGTCATTCCCTTGGGCAAAATGCATTGATTCCCTAAAACCTTTCAAGTCAAATCCAGATCTCTAATCTTCAAACGTGAGGAGGCTCCCAAGCATCCTGACTAGCTTGAGTATTCCAAACATCTTTCAGTCACTTTACAATGTAAACTATACTAGGATTGGAATCTTTATGTCAGACCTCTGATTTATCCCAAGCAACAAGAACAATGCCTGGCCTGGGAGGGATGCTCAATAATTGTGGAATTAGTGAATAAATGAACTATTCCTAATGTATAACCATTTGTTTCAGCCAAGTTAGTGTTCTTGTTCCCTATATGCACCAAACTCATATCAGCCCATCTTTTTGTCCTCTAATACCTAATAAACAACACTTAATAAAATGTATTGCACATTTTAATATATGTGCCCAAATAGCATATAAGACAATGCCTTGTTTTCCCAAAGAGAAGAACTAAAAGAATAGTTTTTGGTCAACCTGATATATATGAAATAGTCAAACGTCTATTTTAAAGAGTTACTGATTTAGTGAAAATTTAAGTCTAATGTTATTAAGCAACACATATTTTAAATCATATATAAAATATTTACTTAGAGGTAACGCTTTTCACTCAAATTTTATAACAATTCTATTCAAATTATCAGTGCCTTCATCATCATTCAAGCCACTTTTTTTTTTTTTTATGAGGAAGACTGGCCCTGAGCTAACATCTGTGCCAATCTTCCTCTATTTTGTATGTGGGACGCCGCCACAGCATGGCTTGATGAGCAGTGTGTAGGTCCGCACCCAGGATCCGAACCCGTGAACCTCAGGCCACAAAAGTGGAGCACTCGAACTCAACCACTATGCCACCGGGCTGGCCCCCTCAAGCCACTTTTATCATCAACTCTCCCAATTTGCAGATCACGTCATCCTCACATATATCTAAATTCTTTGAGGACAATTGTTTTTTTCTAATTCATGCTATGCTTGTATATTCCTGATTTCCACAACATAACCTCTTCCTGTTGCTTTTTAAAAGGCTTATTAGCAATGACTTCTAACACTTGAAACTGTGAGGTCCTAATCCCAGAATTATTCACTAAATCTATGTTAAATTTTTTTGCCTCCTTTTTGTGTGTGTGCGTGTGTGTGTGTGTGTGTGTGTGTGTGTTTGGTGACGAATATTGTTGCTGGGCTAACATCTGTACCAATCTTCCTCTATTTTGTATGTAGGTCGCCGCCTCAGCATGGCTGTGGATGAGTGGTGTAGGTCCATGCCTGGGAACCAAACCTGGGCTACCGAAGTGGAGCATCCCAAATGTAACCACTAGGCCACACGGGGCTGGCCCCTCCTTTTTGCGCTTTTAAGTGAGTCCATCCAGTGATCTCTATAAGCTTGCAGAACTAGCATCAATTGAGGTTATTTCAGGCTGCATCTTCCCCAAACAGTACTCTGATTCAAAACAAATATTATATTTAAAAAAATCAGACTTCATGGACTATAATAGGAGACTTTATAAGAACACAAAATATAAGACAACCTCCTTTCTGAGGAATTATTTTAAGAGGAAATATATCACCTTATATTCAGGTATATATTTACTGATTTAATAAATATTTAATGAGTGCCTCTCGTGTGTCAGGCACTGTCCTAGGAACTAAAAATACAGTGAGCTTAGAATTCCATAGGTAAGACAGTCATTAAATGTACCACAGCTAATTATGATTTTAAGTACTATGAAAGATAAGTACAGCTAGCCACAAGATGAGTAACAGGGGAACCTAAGTCAGTGAGATTAACAAAGAGTTTCCTATAACAGTGCTGTTTATATACAGTGCAGCAGTAATTCATGTGCCAGTATGTCTGGGTTCGAATCCTGACTCATATCTTGAGGAGGTTACTTAACCTCACTTTCCTCATAAACTGGAGCTAACAGTAGTATTCGCCTCATGAATCTGTAGTAAGAACTAAATGACCTAATACTCATAAAGCACAAAGAACAATGATGGCACATAGTACCTGCTCGATAAATGTTAGCTATTGTCACCATTTCAGCTGAACCTGAAAGACAAGCTAGGAGAAAGGGAAGGAAGAAGGAAGAAATTCCAAGCAAAGAGCAACATGTGCAAAAGCCCAGGGGCATAAAGTTGTTTGGCCTACAACAGAACTGAAAGGCCAGTGTTTCTTAGCATAGAAAGACTTCTTCTTTCCCGGAGTGTTCTAGAATTTTACAGCTGAACATTCTTGAGAAATACATCGTAGTTGAGAGGACTTAGAAATTGCCTAAAGACAGAGATAATGTTTTAGTCAATTTTCTATCCCGCCCACCCCATCCACCTAACACTCACAGAGATCCACCCACTTAACAGAACTTTTCCTCTGACTACGCGACTGGCACAATCATAAACGGCCTATGCTAACAGAAAGCTCTGTGACCCATTAAGTGTTATACAGACACGGAGCTTTCACGCCCATTTTCTTCTTGGATCGTCACAAAACTCTTATAAAACAAGCACTATTATAGAGGAAATAAACTCAGTTTATGTCTCCAAGGTCACATACACAGTTAAGGAAATGGCAGTGCTCATATCTGAATCTAGATCCCCTGTTTCCGAATAGGACTCTCTTTCTACTACCCTCCATGGGGGGTTAATATTCAGATGTACTCAAGAGGACTGTTAACTCTTGGAGGCAGCCCAAGTGCCACTTCTGGGACTCATTCCCTATTTCAGGTATTAATTTATTAAAAAATGTTTATCCAGCACCCACTATGAGCCAGGCATGGCACCTAGTCTTTGGGGTAGGGAGCCGGCCAAACAAGGAAACAAATGTATAAACAATGTAAGCGGTAAGAGCTATAAGGAAAATACACAGGGTGATGGGAGAAACGACAGAAGTGTGTCCTTTTGGTCACAGAAAGCGTCACAGAAAAGTGACATTTAAGTTGAGGCTCGCGCGGGGTCTTCAGGAGGCGTTTAACGAAAGACATTTTCCCACAAACCTAGTTTGGGAATCGCAGACAGAAGGAAAAAGCGGATTTGGTCCGCACAGGGGCCGCTCCCAGGCCTCCAACCTCCGCCGCCGGACCGTGACTGGCAGAGGACAGTCCCCGGCCCGGTCAGGCCGCCAGCACTAGAGGGCGCCGCGGGTCCTCCCAGCCCGCAGGAGGCGCCGTGGCCCCAGGCACTGCCAAATTGACACCCCCCGCGTCCAGGCCCCGGAGCCCGGGCTACGGAGAGAGGGCAAGGGCAGCACTAGGAAGCCCTGAGGCCCTAGGGAATAGAGCGGGGTCACTAGGCCCTCAAAGAGGGCACGTTCTCAAGACCACAAACCCAACCACTGGCCTATGACCCGCTCCCCCGGGGATACCCCGCTTCCGGCGCCTTTAAACCAGGAAGTACTGGCTGCGTCCAATCCTGGTCCTTCTTTCGCCTCTATGGTTACCAATCAGCTCTCAGGAAAGGCGCATGCGTTGTCGAAAGAACGTGCCGTAAGGTGAACATTGACCCGAAGGCGACCTCTTCTCCTCTCCCCCTCCCTCGCTGTGAAGATGGCGCTTTCCAGGGCGTTATGGGCTCGGGCCGCTGTGTGGGGGTCGGCGGTCACCCCTGGACTTTATGTCACCCGGAGGCTGCAACTTGGTCGCTCTGGCCTGGCCGGGGGGCCCCCTCGGTGAGGGAACTGGAGAGAGAAAAGCACTTTTGGCGTTCAGGCCCTTCCAGTGTCTCAGCCTTGTCTGCATGCTGCCTCTTAATTCTCAGGGTTCCACGCCCCGGCCCCGGGATTTTTATTCTTCTGCTCAGAATTCGCACTCCGATCCCCGCTAGTGACCTGGCTTCCTGACCCTCTCAATTCTCAGTGCCCCGTATTGTCTGAATTCCCCGCTGACCTGAGCTCATCTTTCAGCCTCCCATCTTCAGCTCCGGTTTTACCGCTCCTTACCTGGACCCCGCCTCTCTGGCCTTAGCCTGCCACTCCAATTGTCCCTCGGGCTGTGCGCTCTCTCCAGACTCGTGCGGCTCTGCGACATCCCTTCCTGCCTGGCCTTTCGTCTGCCTGATCTTTTCTTGTCAGTCTGATTGCTTATCTCTTCTTGATCCCAAGACCTTCCTTGGATTTCAGAAGTGTCAGGTCTTAGCGTACATTCTCTGAGGCTGAGTGTTTTACATTACGGACCCCAGGTGTGAAGGGGCTTCCAGGACTGATTCCCAGATAGTCTCTTTGATCTTCCTTGTAGGTCTGCAAAGCTTCACCTTTCTCCAAGGGCAGAGATGAAGAACTTGATCTCTTATGTGGTGACAAAGACAAAAGTGATTAATGGGAAATACCATCGTTTCTTGGGTCGTCATTTCCCCCGCTTCTATGTCCTGTACACAATCTTCATGAAAGGTAAAAACAAAACTAAAATAGAAAGCCCTTGAATCAGCTCTTGGGCAATGTTAGAGAGCTAGAAGTAAGATCGTTGGCAGGTTCTGGTCTGGGAGTGTGAGCTAGGATGTCTTCTGTTTCATAAATGCTTGAGCATTAAACTAACTCTTATAAGTTAGCACTTGAGGATGTTTCTAGAAGGGTATTATGAGAAACAACTTCTGACAACATCCAGGCAGAATATAGGTATTTTTATACTTTTCTTAACCACACATCTGACTGTAGTAGAAATTCTTTGTCATGCACAAGGGCAGGGATCTATGGCTGCACAGACCTGCCTTCTGATTTATCAGTTGACTTGGACCATAAGAAAATGTGGTTTAATGCTTGTCACAGATCTATGCTGGGTAGTGTGGTGTGGAAATAGCACTACATAGATACTTGGTTTGTGAATGTTTCAGTTCAAATAAGAGCTTTGCTAGTTACTAGGAGATAGTATAGTGTCAGGTGTCCAGTCGGGAGCCAGACTGCCAGGGTTCAAATCCCAGCTTGTCACTGGCTGTGTGATTGAACTAGTTCCTTAACCTCTCTGTCTCTTGATTTTCTCATCTGTAAAATGGGGATAATAGAACCTGCCTATTGACTACATGGTTGTGAGGATTAAATAAATCAATACACATAAAGTACTTAGGGCCTGATTCACAGTAAGTGCTCAATAAGTGTAGCTTTACTATTATTATACTCTATACTTTTATCATAACACTAATTACAATAAAGTACCACATTGTCAGCTCAGGATATTATCATAATTGTTACTAGCTTCATGGAATTGCAAAATCTGTAAAGTGGAGAAAAGAATGGGTGCTTTGTCTGCTCCCAGGTTTATAATTAGGATCAAATGAGAAAAGGATTTGAAAGCATTTTAGTTGGTTTGCTTTTACGCCTTTTATTATGGAAAATTTTAAACATACATGAAAGTAGAGAGAATAATATAATGAATTTCCATGTACTTAACCTCACTTCAACAATTATCAACTCATGGCCACCAATTTTGTTTCATTTATACACTTGCCTTCTGTATTATTTTGAAACCAGCCTAGACATTATATCATTTCATTCATAAATATGAAAGCATTTTTAAAAACTGAAGTCCTAGGTAAATGTAAGAATTCTCATGGAGAGAAAAATGCAATCCTAGAAATACATTGAATTACAGTCATTATAAAAGTGTTCTAGGAAGGAGATAAGTTAATATGTGGTCAGAGAATACATAAGGTTTATTGAGCATGATTTCCTGAAGTTAGGGAGCTTTGAATTTTTATTTTAAAAAGAGAGTGAGTAATGGACCAGAAGAGGGAGACCATTCCATAGTAGATCACAGAAGGCCACCGTAACTGGAAGAGAGGTGATGTGCTGGGGGAGAAAAGGATGAAAAAAGAGATATAGGTTGGCCTGACAAGAGTTTCAAGTGACCTAGTTTAAAGCTTTGATTTTGAGTCGTGTTGGGAGGGACATGTGTGTGTTGTGGGTGAACATGGAGTAGGAAGCTGTGGTAAGATTCAAACTGGGATAACATCACACTCTGTCCTCTACTTTAATGAGGCAGGATTGCAGATGTTATGGGCTGATGCCAAAAAGGCTAGAAGAATAAAGACAAATATGTGGAAGCACAATATAAAGTTTCATCAACTTTCATACCGGGAGATGGAGCATTTGAGACAGGTATGGGCCAGGGGCAGATATCCAAAAGTTCATGGTGAGGGAATTAAAGTTCACCAAGATCTCAAGTTTTTTTCTTTCCTGTCTTGTTCACCACTGATCCCTTTGCCGTGAGATCAAAGTATTGAACGAAATGAGAACATTGGATTGTTTGTCAGAATGGGTTCGTTCAGTGCTGTAGCCCTCCATAGCAGAGCTCCGTAGAGTTTCTGGCACACTTTCTGAATCAAAGTTGTGAACACTAAAATCCAATTCGTTTCTGAACATATAAAAATCTGCAAAGATCCAAAATGCAGCAGGAAAGTAGTATTTGGTGGTGACTTGATGGGTAGTTTTGAAGCTGAGAGTAAGAATCTAGGACCTGTTCTCTATATCAGAAGAAATTCCCTGAGGGATTTGGTATAATATCAGGCCCTATACTAGAAATTATTTGGGATGCAAAAGTGAACAAATCAGGGCTCTGTCCTCAGGGAACTTACCAACTAGAGATAGAGAGAAATAACCTTGATCCTTTTCTGGCCTGCGATAGAAGTTTACTGCACAGTGGGGTGGAGGGATTGTCCATTGTATTAAGAACTCACTTGGGTTAAAACTGCATCTGTGTTTATTTCTGCTTAGTTCCGTCGAGACGTCACCAAGTGTCTTTTCCTAGGTATTATTTCCATTCCACCCTTTGCCAACTACCTGGTCTTCTTGCTAATGTGAGTACAGATTTCTATCTTCCCAGCATATTGAAGATAAATAGATTTTTTTCAAATCACAAATTATTTTAAGAAGAACTTTTCCATTTCAGAAGCAAGGCACAGGTTATCAAACTTCCACTCCAGTTAGCCCAAGGTTCATGAAAGCCACTCAGTAACATCTGAGTTACTGGGACAGCTGTAGGTATAGGTGGTCTAAACTCTCCGTATCTCTTAGCTGCCCCTGTGAAATAAGATAATGACCTTTTCCATCATCCTTGAGAGGCAGCAACCCACTCCCTGATTGCTGTGTAACAACCTCAAAACTTGATAGCTTAAAACCACCACCATTTTCTTGATTTTGTGGTCAGGAATGTGGGCAGGGCTTAGGTGGATGACTGAGTTTTCTCTTCTGTGTGGTGTTGATAGGGGTCCCTTAGTGATATTTAGCTGGTGAGTGGACTAGTCTGGATGGTCTAAGGTCACTCATGTCTGGTGCCTTAGCAGGGATGGCTGGAAGACTAGAACTGTCACCCAGACTGCCTACACATGGCCTCTGGAATATGGTGGCCTCAAGGTAGTGGGACTTCTTAGATGGCAACTCAGGGCTCCAAGAGTGAGTGTTCCAGCAAATAGGAATCTGCATGGCCTTTTATAACCTAGCCTTGGAGGTCACAAAGACTCACTTCTGCTCTCTTCTGTTGGTTGAATCAGTCACCCAGATTTTAAAAAGGGGCAGACAGACCTCACTTCTTAATAAGATCAGTGCCAGAGAATTTGTGGCTATGTTTTTAAACTGCCACACGTGTAAGGACATGAATTAAAAAACAAATTTGCCTCTTCTGTTTTGCATACCTGTAAAGCCTGTGCTACAGTTTGAGGTTATCATCACACACAGTGTCTGGCTCTGTCTGCAGCTCTCTCCAACTCTGTCCCAAATATGTTCTTCACATGCTTTAGTTCAAAAGGAGTCATTTTATCTGATTGCTGCATGCGAGGCTGTTCTGCTACTGCTTCCTTTCACATAACCTCAGTAATGTTTCTTGAAGTTGTGCTTCAGTGTATCTTTAAACCTTGGTCTGAGACTCATTCACAGAAAAGAACAGTGAGGTAAGGAAATAGTGTCTCCATCTCCTCTTCCTAGTTAGTATTCGTGTCTGCTAAATACTTTCTTAGCTCACTTTGAAAGATGCCAGTTTCAGCGAGTGACTTTGTGATTCCCTTTCCTTTCAGGTACCTGTTTCCTAGGCAACTTCTGATCCGACATTTCTGGACCCCAAAGCAACAAATTGATTTCTTAGATATCTATCATGCTCTCCGAAAGCAGTCCCACCCAGAAATCCTTTATTATTTAGAAAGGGTTATCCCTCTCATTTCTGATGCAGGACTCCGGTGGCATATGACAGAGCTGTGCACCAAGGTATTCCTCCAGTTAACTCTTCCTACAAACTAGGAATCTTGTTAGATCCAGTTTGCACTCCAACTAGGTAGGAGGGCTAGCCAGGACCTTCCTAACATCTACCAATCTCTTACCTCTCCCAAGATACAGCATGGTACCCACCCAGCAATACATGATATCCTGGCTCTGAGAAACTGTTTCTCTAACTATCCTCTGGGCATGAACCAACTCCATGCTTGGCAAATGGTGAGCACTTTGAGGCTTTCTCTTTTCCACAGCCTCACCTGGCTGCAGGTGTTTGCTTGTGGTAATACTGTGTTGGCTTTCTCCTCCTGTATTGTTGTGTCACAGAAAGCCTTGAGTCGAGCCATGCTTCTCACACCTTATCTGCCTCCTCTCTTGTTGAGACACCGTTTAAAGACTCATACCACTGTGATTCACCAACTGGACAAGGCTTTGGCAAAGCTAGGGATTGGCCAGCTGACTGCTCAGGAAGTAAAATCGGTAAGAGCTTGATTGCAATATCACCTTCAGTCTTTGGTGGGCTTTTGAGCTTACAGAGAGCTCCTTGTCTTGCTTGGTGTAGCAAAGCCTAAAGTCTTCCTTCTCTCACCTCATTTCTATGTCTTTTTTTCCTCAGTGAACTTAACTCATGGGAAGGAATTCCCTATAGTAATTTTGGTTTATGTTTCTTTTCTTCTGTCCTTTCAAAAAGCACTGTTTTAGATTAAGTAGGCTTTTTTGCTTATCATCTTGTCCATCATAATTCAGATTGCCATCTTGAAAGGTTTCTTGTGGGGATGAGGTTGTAACTTATTTGAAGGAGATTTTGGATTGTTTGTGGATTTACACTTCCTTGGCATACCTGCTCTGTGATTATTAAGGACTGTTTCTCTTTTGAGTGATACAGGCTTGTTATCTTCGTGGCCTGAATTCTACCCACGTTGCCGAAGAGAGGTGTCGAACTTGGCTGGGAGAATGGCTGCAGATTTCCTGCAGCCTGAAAGGTAAGACAAATCCCTAGGCTTATGCCACTAAAATCCAAATCATTTTTGTATTTTATTCTAAGATTATTTTGGAGTTAATTATTAAGCACTGTGACATCCTTATCTAGCATATATGTCTAATTGAAAGGGCACAAACTCACTTGCCTACAGGGAGTAGGTAAGTAATGAAGCAGACTGTGCAAGACGAGAGGGAGTAGTGGGGATTGTGGGAGCGTGAGAGTGAGTGCAAGCTAGTCTGAAGCAGAGTTTCTCAACCTCAGCACTATTGATGCTTTGTTGTGGGGGGCTGTCCTGTGCATTATAGGATGTTTAGTGATGTCCCTGGCCTCTACCCACTAGATGCCAGTAGCACCCCCTTGCCACAGTACTGACAACCAAAAATGTCTCCAGACATTGCCAGATCTCCTGTGGGAAGGGAGAGCAGAATTGTCCCAGTTGAGAAGCACTAGACTAAAGGCATTCAGATTCAAAACAAAATCACTCAATTGGCTAAACAAAAAGTATCTGGGGTGGGTTAGGCCTGTGACTCTCCTGTCTGGAACCTTTGGCTGGGCCTTGATGTTTCTAAGCCTGTGAATATGAGGGTAGGCCGACTAATCTCCTTGGAACTGAGAAACGTCCTTGGAGCACCATCTTCTATCAGAAGAATCCCAAGGGTGACAATGGTGTTTAGTACCATTACCATCTCGGAATTTTCTGCTGCCATCACGTGAGAATCAAGAAATGAGAATGAGTAGATATGAATATACAGTGGAAGGAGAGGAAGGTATACACGCAGGGACTGGAACGAAGCAGGGGAACTTTGAGAACAATAGTCTCTTGATGTCACACCTCTCTGCACTTGGCTCCGTGCCTCTAGCATCAACCCTATACACCAAGGTACTTAGAAGGCAAACAGTTCCCTGGCCAAACCATTAACATTGATGGTGTTTTCAGAAGCTGAGCTGTCCCTTTTGCTACACAACGTGGTCCTGCTTTCCACCAACTACATTGGGACAAGGCGCTGAGTGGACATGGAGCGGATGGCATTGTCCTGCAGTCACATAGTACAGCAGCGTGGGACCAAACAGCACTTGTCAGCAAAAGTGTGTGCACTGTTAGGTGTGTGGGAGGCAGAGGAGCAGGTGCCACAGGCTTCACAGTGTGGTACCCACGTGGGAGCCGGAACTGAAACAAACCCTGTTCCCAGGGGTGGCCCATGTGAGGTGTCACCCCAGCTTCCTCAGAATTAGCTGGAGCTGGCAGCAGCCTCTGTACTGAGCACTTACTGTGATGTTTTAAGTTCAGATCCCAGGAAGTGAGCCTTTGCCCCAGGTGGGAATCCTTATTTGGCTTAGGACTTATCCACTGCCGTATTCTTTACAGCCACATTTTTGTGAAAGACAGTGTCTGGCTTGTAAGGGGAAAGGACTCGTTAAACTGGCACATTTACGTCCATGCAACTGCTTTGATGCTCCTCTTTTGGTTTGATCTGACCAAAAATAGGGATTTTTTTTTTTGTCCTCCTCACTGAGCTAACCACTCTCTTTGAACGCTTTTTTTTTTTTTTTAGTGAATAACTTATGGGAACATTCTCATGGAATAGATAAACGGAAATACAAGCGCTTCTTGACCCCTTCCCAATGTTTACAGGTTCACTCCCCTTGTCTTAATTTCTGGGCTGTGCTACAGCCCCTGTGAATCTTAAACTCTTTGCTACCTCCACTGTGTTGCAGCAATCCAACTGTAACTGATAGTGGCTGCCTTCTTTGGGCCCTGGATCCAACCTGTAAGGTACTAATTACTGCCCAGCCCTGGAGACCAGGAGAGGTCTGCATCGAGATAGTAAGTTGGGTTTAGCTTTTGTCTGTGTATATCAGTGACCCGTAGTAATTTATTGTAAATGCATGAAGCACTGTTTTTGAACCCAAGTAAAGACTGCCTGAAACCAGTTGCTGGAAATTACTTATGCATACTCTAATCATTTTGCTAAGTCTCCTTTTATAAGATTCACATAACCTAACTAATGGGGAGATAATTGGTTGGAATAGAACCTTCTGATGGGATGGAAGTTATGAAGGAAGTGATTTGACGTTGATCCTCTTGCTGGATTTTAAGATGGTGACTAGGAATAGAGAATTTCACACATGTATATAAAGTAACGGAATTAGAAAAGGGGCCCCAAGAGTAGGGACTACAGAAAGGGAACGTTCCAACGGGGCAGGGTCAAGCCCTGCCTCAGCCTAAGAAGTGCACAAGGGCAGATGATGCAAGTCAAGCTCTTGCGGCTCCAAAGAGAATGTTCTATTTTTCTACCATAAAACATTTCTTTTGTTAACATTAATCCCTAACTGACCTAATTAGTTTTATATACAATGCTGGGGAAGCATCCTTTCTCTAACAAGTAACTGAATTGTGGCCTGCCAAGATAAAGAATAACACACATTTCTTTTGAATATTTCTTTAATATTACATTTAAATATTCTCTTTAAATACAGCATTATCACAATGTAAAAGACCTAAAAGGCAAAAAAAAAAAATTGTTTTCAGAGAACCAGACAAGCTTTGGATTCACATTGAAAATACTACCTGTGTACAGTATGTGAGAAAGGAAATTGGAAAATAATAAGAGTTGCAATGAGTCATTTCTTTCCTCTAGGCCTAGACTGAGCAGGATTGAAGCTATCTGCTTCTGTGATCAGAGGCCTCGCTTTTCTAGCAACCACGAGCTATAATTCTGTCCAACTCAGGTAGCACCAGAAACGAGATGGACGAGGTTGTAGAAAAGGCCCTTTGCTTGACAAGACAGTTAATGCTAAATGTCAGTATTTAGCATTTAAAAGCTTGGGATCAGTGTGAGTCAGAATTGTAGAGTTAATGAAGGGATAGACTTAGATTAGGAAACTAGTTTTTCAGAAAAATCAAATATCTTGGGAGTTGGCAATGAGTTTGATATTCAGATTCTTGGTTTGATCCCAAAGGCTAACGTGTCTCTTATTGAGCAGCTGGAATTCACTTCCTCAGTTAGGCTGGAGCCTTCCTAAGGAGGGAATGTATAGAGCTCACCCTCTCCTTCCAACACAAACTTGCAGAAAGACTCTTCTCCATAGAGTCAAATTCCCAGTAAAGCTTCAGTCTTGTATTTGAGGGGACCCATCTAAGGTGGGGGTATGTGGCTCAGTTTGGGATAGCATCTAGATCTCTGGTACTTAAGACTCTCAACTCTGTCTTGTGAGGCTAGAGGATGGGGAGAGTTAAGGACCTATGTACTTAATTAAGAACTCCCCTGCAAAAAAGTAAAACCAAGCAAAAACGGGAATTAACAGGAGAGGCAGAATGGATTAAAAGATGTACCTGTGTTAAGTACAAGGCCTTTCAGGCTCAGTTTAGGGATTTATAGGTGAAATGCTGCTGTGACATACATGAAGCTTGCATTAAGACACTAGGACCTTAATATCCTACAAGGCTTTATGAGCAAGATAAGTAGGAACAGTTATCTCCCCCATCAAAAAAAAAAAGGTTTTCACTTTGTTTTTCCCTGGTTAATAAACCACACCAGAAGTGAAGCATGGTGTAGAGGATGCTAGAGAACAAGAGTGTTTTGCTCCTGACTGCCTCCATGTTAAAACAGAGGCAGAGATAACTTTGCCAATAAAAAGAATTCAGTGGTGTTCAGTGGAGCACATCCTGGAACATAAGCTGGACGTAAGAGGAACAGGAACTGTATCCCCCCGGATAAAGTAGGTATCCCACTCTGTAGACCTCCAAGCTTATAATCAGAACTTGAATTCTTTGGAACCTGGGCGTTGTAGTAGCATTTAAGAATTGGTTTGACTTCCAATTTTTATATATCAAGATGGAGGGTCCAATAAACATCTGCAGTTTTTGGGGGTGAACTGGAATCACATAAGGACCCTCTAACCCTGTACAGCCAAGGACCACGAGGGTAGATACAGGGGAAAAGAACAAAACCTAGTGGGTGACCTTGGATTGCCACATCCTACTTTCCTTTAAAGCTCAAATCTCCCAAAGTGGGGGGGAGGGGGGGTATGAAAAAGCAAGCATGGCACAAATAAAGTCATCTTCTTTCCAGACAGCAGCCTGTTCCTGCTGCCTCCTTTGAACAGTTAATGTTCCAAACACGCCTCCTGTGGATGTGTGAGCCCCAGCTTGACGCTGCCTGACACACACAGAAGACTCAGGCTCTTTGTACCACATCCCCAGCCAATCTAGCTCTGTTTCTTCAAAAGAAAAAGGATGGAGGGAAAAAAAAAAAAGACAAATAGGCAAGTTTAACTCTAGTACCTAAGAACATATGAAAGAAACAATTCAAGTTACAGACCAGGAATCCCCAGTGTGGGGAATAGGTCAGAAAACACCAAACATGTCAAATATTAACTTATTTATCAAATAGGGGGCTGGGGAAGGATGGTTAAATTTTGATAAATCCTGGAGGTTTTGTACAGAAGCAGAAACCCTTCTATCCCTTCCTCTAGATTCAACCAGGTGACATTTCCAACCGTATTATTATGATCCACCAAAATGGGATATCAGAGTAACCACAGAGAACAATGAGCTTCTACCTGCCTGGAGCCCAGGAGAGGAAAAGGGGCTTTGCCACGCTGTTCAAATTGTTGTGTTCTGGTCCCTACATAGATACCCAGCTTCTCCTGTGAGATCCTCATCCTTTGTTCCAATGGCCCAGAAAGCTCAGAGTTCGGCACTGTGCAGCCTCCTCTGCCCAGGACTCCATCCCCAGATCAAGCTGGGGCTGGTCTCCTTGATTCTGTTCACCCTTCAAAAAATACTTGTACAAACAATCCTTTCCCACCCATTCCCCAAAGACCCCAGTAAAATAACATGGGAGCAGCAGCTGCTTCTACAGTTTTGTTTTGAAATGGTGTTAGATAAAATAAGGGAATAAATAGAGAATGGGGAAGAGGCAGATTCTCCATCCCCGGGTCACACTGCCAAAGGGAGTTCTAGGGAAGAATCCTCAGGGGGCTGGTCCTCGCTCTGCTGTGAGGTCTTCTCCACCACACAGCCCTCTTCATTGTCCGTGCGGAAGGGGAGGTTTGAGGGGGACCAAGAGGGGCGGAAGTCTTCATTCTCGGGCTCCTCAGGGTCTTCGGGCACTAGTGCTTCTAGAGTAGATGTTTTCCCTCCCTCTGATTTACAGAGGGCAGCTGGGTCTGTGGGGCTACAAGCCACCAGTGAGGTAACCGGGAGAGAGAAGACATTCAGGTCCTTCTCCTTGGGGAAAGAGGGTGGGACTTCTTCTGTACTAGGCTCTCCTTTCACCCCCAGGACTGGCCTCTGCTCCACCTGATAATAGACCAGGGGCCCACTGTTCAAGTAGGATGGGTTGTTCACTGCTGAGGCAGTTGGATGGTCTGAGTTCTCGGCAAAACATAAGACAGAGGAGCCTGGGGGCAGCTGAGCCTGGATGAGAATGGGGGCTGTCAGGCCTGGGCACAGCTCTTCAGGAACAGCCAGGGGCTCCTCCAGGATGCACACACCCAGGCTCTCAATGCTGGAGTCCAGGCTGGCGCTGGAGCCGCTGGAGTCTTCCTCCGCCTTGAGCCGCTCCAGTTCCTCTGCACTCTGCAGGTGCATCACTGCTGTCTCGTTCTCAGCAATGAACTCCTGGAAGTCCTGTGTCTCAGAGCCCTGGGCTCCTGTCAGGCTGCAGCTGGCAGTGGGCGAGGGCTCCTCGTCTGGGGCTGGCGGGCGGCTAACCTGCCGCTTGCTTTCTAGCTCCAGCTTCATAATGGTGTGAAGGTAATGAGTCCGGACCCGGATTGGATTAAATTCAATGCGCCCAGCCATGTTCCCACAGCCATCACGGGAGCAGCCACAGGGAAAGGACATGCGATCCACCTGACGAGGGGACAAGGAGGTTGAGGCAAGATGAGCCCAACAGATTTAACAATGGAGACAGGAGACATCAGCTGGCAAACACAGGCAGTTGGAATTTGAGGTCTTCTTATAAGAGAAACAACCAATTCAAAACATAACATGCAGCGTGAGCTCACAGAGCACTAGACGGTAGTTATCACACCGCTTGTGTTTTAATTCCAGTGCAGCTGATAATTAGCAGTGTGACCTCAAGAAAGTCATTTATCTCTCTAGGGCTTTGGTTTCCTTTTCTAAACAAAAAGTAGACAAAAATCATGTCAAAGGGCCCTTCCAGTTAAAAAGTCCAGAGATACCTCTCTGAATGCTGACAGTTCTCAGAGTAGAAGAAATTTATGGGCCCCAGAGACTTTTCCAGAACTTACCTGGTGACAGGCATGAGAAAGGAAGTAGAAGATCTAGCTAGTCCAAAGCAATACATTCTGGGGAGACTAAGCAAAAGTGTCCTCGTTTGCTAAGGTGCTATAATGAAGGTTCAAACAAAATAACGGCCAGCTTTTCACTACCTGCTTCGTTTTCCCTTGATGGTTGACCAGTTTGGTTCTGAAGCAGTTACCAAGATAATCAACTTACAGACCAGGGCTATCTAGAAAGGAGATGCTTTCTACCTCTTTATCTCCCTTTTGGATCCCAAAAAGGAAAAAAAAAAAAAAAACACATACCAAAAATAAAATTAAAAACACAAGTAAGCTACTAAGTATGTACAAATACACAATACATTCCTACGATATCAACTTAAAGAACTCTCCAATTCAGTTCTTAGGACAGTCCAATTCTTAGGACTCTTCTCAAGTCTGTATACAACACCCTGATTCATTATGAGACTTGATTCTGAAAAGCAGTATCTGGCCAGATCTGCTACAGCTATTTGATACCTACCTAAAAATAAGAAGGAAAAGGTTCGTTAGAATAAGTTCAACTACAAGGACTTAGCAACCACACCCTCAGTATACAGGTTCCAGATAAATTGCATTCTTTGGGAGAGTACTGCTATTTTCAATCGAGCTGTGTCTTCCAAACTGTCCCTTGTCAGAAGGCCAGCTACGGAATGATGCTTTCTATCTTCTGGGACACTATGGATTTAGGCTCTCCCAGGCCAAGTCTGATCCTGAATTACAGGATCCGAGAACTGTTTTGATTTTTGCGAAATTGGAGTAGAGGTACTGTGAAGTTGGTGTTGGCGAGATAAAATCTAAAGGCTTACCTCATTTCTCTGCTTCCTTTTATCTTAAGGAATCAGTCCGTATTTAGAGAACAGCTACTAAATGTTAAACTTACTAACCCCTGTGCCTCCATTTGCTGACAGCTGCTGCTTATCACTTCTGAGGTGTAAAACACAGAAAAGATCATCAGTATCTCCACAGCCTAGGAATCCTGTCATGTTTGTCTTCTTTGTTGGTGGAGGAGGGCTGTGGAACTGGGGAGTGTTCAGAGTCATGGGCAGTCTACCCATGGACGGACAGGCTCCCATGTTCATTGGCACCCACACCACATCCCCCTGACTCTGGTGTAGATATACCATCTCAGGCCAAGTTAGACTGACCTGGCATTTAATCCCAGCTTGGCTACAGGCACACGCTTCTGGGTCACAGTATAGTCGACAGTCACAACCACACTCTTCCCGAGACAGGCGGATGGCTCGAAGTTCTTGCTTCTCTTCAGCATCAATGCGGTGGACCCCAGAAGCCCTCAGCAGGGCCCGTCGCCGTTTAGTGGGTAGAGGCTGCAGGAAGAAGTAATCATCCACCTCCACATTTTCCACATCAATATCTTCATCTGAAACATCATCCAGTGTCAGGCCATCAGCCTCCACCGACTCCACTGTCCCATTCTTGGTCAGCTGCCAAGAGACAGGAAGGAAAGCTTAGCTTCCAGAGCATTATCAGCATGAGCCTCCTCAGTGAGCATCTACAGCAGCACTGTCCACCTGAACTTTCTGCAACAATGGAAATATCCGTGCTATCTAATATAGTAGCCACTAGCACATGGGGCTGCTGAACACTGTAAATGCAACTGAGAAACTGCATTTTTTAATTAAGTATAAATAGCCACATGTGGCTAGTGGCTACCACATTGGATAGTGTAGGTCAAGAGAATAAATCTATAACAGAAAGATAAGATTTATGCAGCTCTAAAACCTTGTCGGGCCAGCCCCGTGGCTTAGCGGTTAAGTGCGCGTGCTCCACTGCTGGCAGCCCGGGTTCAGATCCCGGGCGCACACCAACGTACCGCTTCTCCGGCCATGCTGAGGCCGCGTCCCACATACAGCAACTAGAAGGATGTGCAGCTATGACATACAACTACTTACTGGGGCTTTGGGGGGAAAAAAAATAAATAAATCTTTAAAAAAAAAAAAAAAAAAAAACCTTGTCAACACAAGGGACATCACCTTTCTAGATCAAAGTTTCTCAAAACCTCTGTCTTATCTTCCCTCCTAGAAGATAATCTGTTCCCACAAATATACCCTCCATTCCTAGACTTGTGTCCCTTGACTTTAGCTGAGTTGCCTTCTAACACAGGGGGCAGTTCAACAATGGCTGGACATATCCTTGGTTATCCTATAGATAACCTTGCAAAACACCCTTCAATTGGCACCCCAAAGGATCCAAAACCACTTCTGGGGAGAAGAGTACATTAAAGTATAGCACAAGCCTCCCACGTCTTTGTCAGTGAACTGGAATCCCCAGTGTGAACGACTGCCTGTGGCTACACAGAAGGGCTTCATTTTATTGGGAGGAGAAAAAGATGAGCAAATTATTAATGGCTATCAAAGAAAGCCTTCGCTTCCAACCCACAGCCGGAAGAAATGTATTCTTTCTCCTTTCCAATCCTTTTTCATTTGATTTTAAAGAGAAGTTGTAATGTGAGGTAGGGTGCATTATATAATACCAAGTGTAATATCTACAGGCAGAAATCTGGGCTCTGGGCTAAGAGGGATAGCGAGCCGAGAAAGGGAATCTTAGTGGAGGGACGGGTTAAAGACTATCTGTGGCTGAATGAGTTTTGAAAACTCACTAGAGAATCCAAGTAAAGAAAATGAGGCCTCATAATCCCCAGGGCTCTGGAAGCTACTAGCAGGATGAAAGCCAAGCTTCTGGGGGGTTTGGCTTATTTCATCAGACAGCCACAGAGTAGTGCTGGTAAAGGAACAGCTCCTGGGAGAGATGTGATGCAACAGACCCGGGTCATAAGCTGCACACCTGTTTTTCTGTTTGTTTTGGGGGAGGTGGCAGAGAAATGAGAAGAGAAATAAAGTGGTCCTTCTGGGGTTTCTCTCTATTATTTCTGTTCCCAGCAGGCCAACGACCAGGGGTCTTTCTGCAGACGTTAGGATTGCTCCTGTCTATTTCACCAGGGTTGGCCTCCTTCTAATCACCTGTCCTCCTGCCATCCTCTCAAAGGAAAGAGATGAGAGGCAATAGAAAGAAACCCATGTAGCTATGAGAATTTAATATAATCATGATAGAGGCGGCATTTCAAATCACTGAGAAAAAGAATCTTCTAATCATTAAATGGTATTGGGACAACTGGATATTCTTCTGAAAAAAATAGTTATTAGATTCCCAATTCATACTATTCATAATAATAAATTTCATACGGATAAAAGTCAAAAAATTTTAAAAAGTATTAGAAAAATTATAGGTAACTAAAGCTGCAGAGCACAAGCTGCTTTTTTTTTTGGTGGTAGCCCAAAAGGAAAACAAATATTAGATGACATATGGGAGACGCAAAATATATATTTTTGAGACCAACTGCCTTTATAGAGTGTGAAAGACAGGAAAAATTTCTAAGAGTAAACTGGACCTAGGAAGGGCAAAGGAAGGGTTTTCTCTTGACCTAGAAAGATGTATTAGATGTCACTATTGCTGCTGCTCACCCAGTCTGCTAGTAAGTAGGAATCCTGTATCTCAGCCTCGAGTTTGCCTGGCCTTGTCCCCAGACCTCCTATGAGAGAGGCCACGGAACAGGATGGCATCCTGTTTTGACAGGTCATTCCTCTACCAGATTTAGGAGAGGGGTTTCTTCTAGCGAAAGGGAAGAAGGCCTTCACTGCAAATGATGAGAACAAGTGTTTATTTGCCCAGCTGTTGCTATAACAGCAGGAAGGTGATAGGATCAGTGATGGAATTCCTCAGACAGAAGGGAAGCCTGAATGTCATTCTAGTTAGAAAAACAGGTGTAAGGCTTTAGGAGTGGGCTAAGGGAAGCAGACATAGCTCTCAAAGGGAGAAAGGAATGAGATTTAGTTAGCCTACATCCTCGGCCACCAGTTTTCCAATGCTACCACATTCTGGAAATAATGCAGCCACCTGTTTTAATATGGGTCAGCTCTGGGCCCACAAGGAAGCTGGCCAGGCCTAAAGCAGTGTTCTCCAAATTTGGAACTAGGAATTTGGGGGGAAATTTTTGTGGACTGGTGCAAACTGGAGTGCCAAGCAGTGCTAAGAGAGCAAATGGGTAGCTATGAAGAGCCACCTGAGATGGGTCTTCTTCCAGCCCTGCTTTCCTTCTATACTTGAGGGGCTGATGCGGCATCAGATGGACGGCAGGCACAGTGTTATACCAATCGAAATACCGATTTGTTAATGCTGTTGTTTACACCTAAAAGATTATCACCTAGAGGCGATGGGGGTTATAGAAACAGTAGGATCCTTTCAGATCTGTGTTGATGAGAAACTGAAACACTGTGCTTCCTCAGGTTCAAGGGGTGGCAGGCTTGAATATCTTCAGGTATTTGCATTTTAAACTTTTAACAAATTTGGTTTTTTTAGAGGGCGAGGGTAGGGAATTCTTGGGAAGCCGTTTTGCTATCTCTGGTAGACTCCCCACCAGAGACAGAAAGAACGGTGTCTCTGACTAAGATCTGATTCCAGATCTGAGACTTCTCATTAGAAAGACTTGGAATCTTGACATGCCAAGGGCAATAATCAAACTAAAAAAAAAAAAACCAATAGACCTAGATGGTTTTCACTTCATCTTGGCACATGGGACAGCCCAGACCCCAGACCTCTTAGGCACCTTCATCTTCTTGGCGTGGAGTTTCTCCTCCTTCAGGTGCTCACGAAGAATCTCCCGATGATTCACCTCCTGCTCTTGAGCAAACTCACAGAGCGTATAGCTGCGCACAGAGTTATGGCGCTGGGCCATGCCCAGAGAGCTACCACCCTGGCTGGGCACACTGGTGAAGCCCTGGCGCCGGGCAAAGTAGTATACAGTCACCTGGTCAAAGCGCACATTCTTCCTCCGCAACTGCTTCTGCCGCTTCAGGATGGATGTGGCTGAGAAGGGAACACAGCAGGTTTACTAACCCCGAGATGGCCGGTTTGGGGAACTTGTTCTTTCTCATCCATCTTGCCTCTCAGCTCTTCTCTAAAGGTGCTCCCTGTACCTAGAGACCTAATTCTCAAACCATAAATGCACAGGTGGAAGGGACCCTGAACGCTGGTCCACACCACTGCCTCCAGATTGACTTCGCCCAAACAGATGACCACAAAATCTATTTTTAGACATCAGCTGGGAAGAGGATCTCTAGGTAAACCTTTCAAGATATAACAATCTATATAGCTTCACTGTCCTGTACAGCAGCTACTAGCCACCTGTGGCAATTTAAATTTAAGTTAATTAAAATGAAATAAAATGTAAAACTCAGCTCCTCAGTTACACTAATCACATTTCAAGTGCTCAATAGCCACATATAGCTAATGGCTACCATAGTGGATGGTGCAGATATAGAACATTTCTATCATAACAGAAAATTCTACTAGACAGTGTTGTATAGCAGGAGATAGCAAACTTCTTCTGTAAAGGGCCAGATGGTAAATATTTTAGGCTTTGCAGGCCATGAGGGCTCTGTTGCAGCTACTCAACTCTGCCATTTTAGCATGAAAGCAAGCAGACAATGGGTGTGGCTGTGTTCCAATAAACTTTATTTACAAAAACAGGCAGTGAGCCATATCGGCCCACAGGCAACCCCTGATCTATAGTATCAGAAGTTCTTTCCAAGAAACTAACTGAGCCATGAGAATTAAGAAATCTGGAGTTGCCCCAGTTGTCCACAAACTCACAAACCATAGTACAAGTAAAATCAGCTAGAATATATCAGACTTAAGTCTAGGATATGAAAGCAATGAGGTCCTCCAAAGAGCAAGGTTGAGCTAAGAGTGGGAAAGGTTATGATTAAGGGCAAATCCCCTAACTGGACAGAAGCAGCTGTTTCAAGAGCTGCAATGGGCTCTGAAGCTCAGGGGCTGTGAGTGTGGGCGGGGAGGAAGCGGCTCACTCACGTGTGAAGCTGGCAGTTGTGGGAGGATTGAGGCTGTCACAGCTGTCAGCACTGTCACTGCTGGAGATCTCATCATCTGAGTTGGAAACTGAGGAGCCCACATCCACATCATCAAACTTCCTCTTGAGACCCGAGCCCGTGAATGCATCCATTGGTTTCAAAGGGGTTTTCTTGGGGAGCCCACCACGTTGGCCCCAAAGCCCCTGCTCACCACCAGTTAGCCAGGTGCATTAGGATTCTGCCCAGGGGAAAAGAGGAATCAGCATTCCTGTCCTCAGACAGACCCCTCCCAAGTCTATATACATGGCTCTCCAACTGAAGAAAGTAAGCCCATGAGCTAGCACTGATGTCCGGTCTCTCAAGACTAGGTCATTTCTCTACTGATTCCAGCCAACATTCTACTTTTATTTCCCCTCAGCCCCTTAGGCTCAGTCCCTCTTAGAATAATGAGATGAGTAACAACAGCACCTTCCCAGTGGAGTGAAGGCCTCTGGTTCCAAGCCAGCTGGGCTCTAGGCTTCATTAGCCCCGGGATAACAGTGGCTGCTCTTCTGATCACACAGGAGAGCTCTACAAGGGGCCAGTAGGAGGGACTGGGGATCAAAGGCAGAATTAAGCTGTGCCTAAACCTAGACTAGATCCAATTATTTTTCCTAGTGAAAATATAGCTTGGCATTTCCCAAAGTGTATATATTAAATAAACTAGTTCCATGGATATTAATAGCTTTTACATGGAAATAGGACTGCTGTGTCAAAATAGTGTACAAAATGCTTATGGGAAGATCTGTTAGAGGCTTTTAATCCACTAATGAGCATGATGAAGGACAGGAGAAAACACAGAATACAGAGTTTCACACACCTGATTATGGAACCCTTTGTTTTCCAGAGTATTTTAGGGGGCAAATAATCTTTGGAACACGCTTTGGGAAATACCGTTCTAGGCTCTCAATTTCAGAGTACATCAGCAGCCAGGGAAATGCTTTATCCAGATCTTCACAAATGTAAAGTGTCTCACCAGGCTCCTAAAAAGGTCAAACTTGGTTCTAAAGAATGGACTGAAGATTAGAATCTGCTCTGGCTTCAAAACCCAGAATCTCTCCCAATCTCATACTGCTCCAAAAATAGGGCTTGGCTGGTCTATCCACATCCTTTGTGCAAGGAAAACTTAGCTTTACAATCTTTGCCCTCTGTAAAGAGATGAGCAAGGGGAAAACACATAGCAAAAGAAGTGACACTTTACTCTGGTTACATCAATATGGGAGGCAGCGTTTTCAACATGCTGTCACACAACCAAGGAAGGAGTCTGGGATAGTCCATTTTCCAGGTGCGCATCTTTCTCCTTCTCCGTCTTTGGACTTAAATTCCCAAGGATATGAATCTGCTCGGCAGAAATGCTGTCAGAGCCAGAGCCACATGTGATGATACGAACCTCCCTGCTTTGCCTCAGTAATGCCAGAATCTCCCCAGACTATGATCTCACTAGTTGCTAATTATGCAGCAGGAATAACAACACTGCCCAGAAAGACAGGGCTGCATTACTGCAGAGCAGCTACCAGAATATACTGTGGTGTCAAGAGATGCCGGCTACAGAGCTGTTTTTCTGGACTGTGTCTCTTGGAAGGATTCTACATAGTCAACCAGACCTAATAAGTACTTTAGAAAAGATATTTCCTAATCTATCTATCCAGATCTCATCCAAATTCTGCATTCAAGTCACAAGATGTACTTAAGAAACCTCAGCCATCATAGGTCTCAGACAAGCACATTCCTGAAATAAATTTGGCCAGGGAGGAAAAAAATAATCAAGTATTTGATAAGAATTGTAATTAAATTTAAAAATGAGCCCTAAGTATCAATTCTGTTCTTCAGGTTACTGATCTTACCATCAGAGGTCACATTCCTAGGACATGGTAAGAAAGAATGGAGAGAGCCAAGGACTTTTTATGGGTTAAGATTTCAGCTAGGTTTAAAGATATCTATTAATTAACAAATTTCTCATTCCATTCTATTATTGGGGTGGGAGGGGAAGCTTTGCAATTGAGTGCTTATGTGGATGGGATTAAAAAAATAAGAATAGGGGCCAGCCCCGTGGCCTAGTGGTTAAGTTCGGCGTGCTCTGCTTCAGTGGCCTGGGTTTGGTTCCTGGGTGCAGACCTATACCACTCGTCAGTGGCCATGCTGTGCTGGCAATCCACATACAAAATAGAGGAAGACTGGCACAGATGTTAGCTCACGGTGACTCTTCCTCAGCAAAAAAAAAAAAAAAAAAAAAAAGTTGACCACTAAATTTAATTTTTCCTCCCCACTTAAAAACCTTATCAACCACATGAGAACTCAGACTGAGCTAAAAATCTGCTTTCTGAGAAAGGGCGTAAGTCCAGCTTCAGTTTTAACTGAGGTCCATTAGTGTTGCTACTAGAAGAGTAGCTTTTTCCTCAGCCTGGAAGCACTCAGGGATTTATGATCAGAAGCAAACGTGCACTCCGGTTCTTTCCTCGGCTGTCCCGCTGCTTCTGGTAGTACAGGTTCCCTTTGAATATTTCTCTTTAAGACCTGCATGAGGTTGGGTCTGGTCCAAAACCATCTTTATTATCAAAATTCTCCACTGTGTCAACCCAGCTGCCCTCAGGGCTATCATTTGTCTTCGGGTTACTTTCTGTGCACTCTGGTGCAGCAAGGATTGCTGGCTGCTTGTTCCAGTCTCCTTCACCCTTTTTTCTATGTCTTCCCCACTTCCACGTCTAGAATAGTGGTTTCTGGGCAATGACAGGAGGTAGGTAAGAAAGAAAAAAGATGTGAAACCTAGGAGAAAAAAATTTTCTTTAACATGCCTGAGAATAATCTATGGCTATATATGTAAATAATGTGCACGCTCTCTTCACCCTACCCAGGATCTGTTAACATCACACTTTCTCTGACAGTAACTCCTTTATCTATTATCAACAAAACAAAACAAAATCATCAATTCTGTCCTGACAACCAAAATAAGTTTAAATTTCAACGCAGCTCTCCTTGTCCAACTCTCTGGTGTGAACGTGACTTGTTAGATAAAGACGTTCACTGGGCACCAAGAAACCTCCACCCACTTCCACAGTGGCCTGAAGAGATCTTTCTTTGCAACAGCAACAACTAGAATAGGTTCCGCACTTCCCAATTTATCAAATCAACTTCCTTTCAAACCATAATTAGAAATCAGTCATTCCCACCTCGCTCAACCATTCAGTGGCAGATGATCAATGCTTTTGTTCAAGAGAAACACTTATAAATTATACTCCCAGCACTTAAACCCTTACAGCAATAATCCAGGTGAGACTGGCGATACAGGACATAACTAACAGTTAACTCTCAAAATGACCAACTCAGACAACAAATGCTTTTGGAGAAAATAATGCAAACCTCTATAAAAGCTTTTAAACGCCAGTAAAATGAAAGGTCAGCTGACACTTTCTGGCTATATGCCTTACAGTCTTTTCTCAAGTGTTTCTAGTTGAACATTTCCCAAAGGTATGTGAAATAATTCAGATCCACAGTACATAGAAGATATTAGGCCAGCACCAAATAAAATAGATCTACAGCATATGTGTATTTTAGTACTAAATTAAGCCTTTTCAGGCCTGTGAGGATTCCTTCAATAACCCCAAACACAAAAAACCAGCATATGTGAGACTAGCAAAAGAGGGACTGCCCCCACCCCCCTTTTTGTGGATGCAGAATATATTTGCAAAGTTTAGGTAATAAAAGCCTCTCTCTTAAATGAGTCCAAAATAATAAGACAAGGTACATCTCACAGGAGAAAGCTTCTCCACTCAACTGGAACTCAACCTTCTGCTAAAGGTCAAGGGACCAGAATCTCTAGTAAGATCATGAGGGCTACCATCTGTAGCTGGGTTAGAGGAAGGAAGGCTTGCTGCTAAGTGTTACGATAAACCTGAATAAAATGACCTGTCCTTTCTCCTTTTATAAGACGTGGTTGATTCTCAAATACTATGAATTTCGTGGATCCATGTGTCCTTGTGATTACCAGGATCATGAACTTATAAAGCGCTCAAGTGAAAACATCCTGTTTAGGGGCCGGCCCCGTGGCTTAACGGTTAAGTGCACACACTCCGCTACTGGGGGTCTGGGTTCAGCTACTGGCGGCCCGGGGTTCAGATCCTGGGCACGCACCGACGCACCACTTCTCCGGCCATGCTGAGGCCGCGTCCCACATACAGCAGCTAGAAGGATGTGCAACTATGACATACAACTGTCTACTAGGGCTGTGGGGAAAAAAAGGAGGAGGATTGGCAGTGGATGTTAGCTCAGAGCCAGTATTCCTCAGCAAAAAGAGGAGGATTAGCATGGATGTTAGCTCAGGGCTGATCTTCCTCACAAAAAAAAAAAAGAAAACATCCTGTTTAAACCAAGTATTTCGAGGAAGCCCCCGCCAACCCTCACTCCCTGGTTTTTACCCATTCACTGACACAAGGTTAGAATCTGGGTTTCCATGTCTAAACTACCGTCATATGGAGGACACAAGATCTTTGTGGGAGAACTGGAACATGATGCTGCAGGAACCATTAACTCAAGGATATTCAGTCATTTATAACTCTGGCACACACCAACATCCTCCTGGCTTTGGAGATTTGCAAGATGGAAAGTCAGTAAAGAAAAGGAAAATCTGAATCAACTATAGATTTACCTTGAACTGAAAACAGCAGGACAAGGGGACACTGTGTCTCTCGGGGATAACTTCTAACATTTCATATTGAAGAACGGTTTGTGTGTCACACTGCCTCTCTAAACCCCTCTAAAAGGATGAATCAAGACCATGGCACTAAAAGGGATGGATGGCAGTCAGCTGCGTGTTTGGGCCTGTGAAAAAAATCAAGCTAGGAACCAGGGCAAGTGATGCTTTCGTTTTCCCACACAACGCCAGAAAAATGGGAGACATCAGGAACCTGAGCTGAAAGGACATGTGAAGTCACCAGTTCCCCTTAATGGACACCCCCCCGAACTCGTCAGCTGCCGGCCCATTTCTCTCTGATTCCTGCTAACCTTCCCGCTCATTCCAATCGTCTGCAGCCCCTGCCCAGCATTCCCATCCCTTCCTGCCTGCTACTCACAAATTCCCAACCACTCCTCCCACATTTTCCTCTATTCCCCCTCCCCTTCCTTCACTTCCCTCCATCCTACATCATCTCCACTCCATTCCGAACTCAGCCCTCATCCGCAATCCTGCCGGCTTCCAAGCCGCCCATCGGTCTCCCTCGAGCTGCCCCCGCAGTCTGGGCCCGCGTCCTCCGTGCCCCTCGCTCCCACGCTTCTCCCGACTCTTTCCCTTCCCAGCGGCGCCCTGGCTCCCCGCCCCCCGACCGCTCCCGTCCGAGCCTCCCTCATTTCTGACCCCTCCATCCGCGCGGCTCAGGGTTGACCACTCCTCCACAGCCGCCCGAGGGCCGATCCCGAGAAAGGACGAGGCGGCACCCTCCGCCCCGCACCCCCAGGCCCATTACCGGCCCCGCCGCAGCTGCCTCCTCCCGTGATGGTCTCTGCCGCCCCCGCTGCCGCCGCCGCCCTACCCCGGGTGGGAAGGAAGGAGGAGAGAGCGACTCCCAGGCCCGCGGCGACGGTCGGGGAGTTCCCAGGGCGGCAGGGCGCGGAGGGAAGGCGGGTGGGCAGGTCGGCCGGCAGGAGGCGGAGGGCGGGCAGCTCCAGCAACTCGGGCGCCCCTGGCAGCAGCCGCCCAGAACCGCCCCGGCTCCGGCTAACAATAGGCTCCGGCTGCAGCGCTCTGGCTCTTATAGGCGCCGGCACGTCCTGCCCGAGCCCCGGGGCAGGCTGGGAAATGGAGTCTACGTGCGGGCCCCACTCCCACCGGCATGCCGGGAGTTGGAGGCGGCGACCGGCGCAAAGCAGAAACTCGCCTGCGAGCAAGCTCAGGAAGCGATGTCTCTGATGCAGCGGACCCTGGGAAAGCGAGTTTAGCGCCGCTGCAGCCTTTTGAAGAGGAAGAGGGGAGACCCTCAGCAACAGATCTTCAATACTAAACGAATTCTCCTCTAAAGCTCCCCTTTTCCTTTCCCCAGGCCCCATCCCATGCCCCCTTATCCTCGTTCATGGGATCTTAAACAGCATGACGTGCTGCAGCCTGCCCAAGGTATACAGAAGAAAATACAAGCAATGTATTGAGCTATCTCAATATGTATTGACGCATTGATACAAGCGTTTTCTTTCAAAAACTTTTTTACATGATCTCTGATCTTCACAATTCTGCAACTCATTTTTAAGATGGAGAAAAAGAAGACTCAGAAGTCAAGTTATATGTTATTTGCCAAGGACACCCAGCCTTGGTTTCCTATCTCACTCAGAATAGAAGTACATGTCTCTCCCTTGACCTTATAAGGCCCTACAAGATATAGGTGTATCCTCTGGCCCCACCAACCCCCACCCTATCTGTCATCTTCTCTCCTACTTTTCCCCTCCCTTACTCTGCTTTAACTCTGGCCTCCTTGCAGTCCCTTCAACAGGACAATCATGCTCTTACCTCAGGGCCCTTTGCCTGGAACACTCTCACCAGCTAGCCACCTATTTACTCCCTCACTTAATAGTTGCTCCAATATCCCCTATTCAGAGACCTTCCCTAACCATATTTCTAAAATGGTGCTTCCCCTTAGTCTCTATCCCCTTGCCTTAATTTCTTCTTAGCACTTACCATCTGACATATATTTATTATTTGTTTTTCAGTCTTATCCCACATGACTAAATTCCATGAGAGCAAAATATAGGTTTACTGTATCCTGAGCACTCAGTACAAAGCCTGCTATTTGACATTTAGGATCTCAGTAGTTATTTACTAGATATTTATTGGATGCATGGATGGATGGCAGGATTTAAATTCAGCTTAGGTTGATTCCAAAGCCTAGTGCACTTTTCACTGGAACCAAAAACTATGGGGCAGATCTACTGGCTACCAAGTTATCCCTTTTAGAACTGAGAGGGTGGGTGGCTTAGAAAAAATGCCAAGAATCCCAGTCCTCTTCCCTGGGTGACATCAGAGACTCTAAGAGGCTAGGAAACAGCACTGCAAAATGAAAAAGCAGCAGATCACAAAAAAGCAATCCTTAGGGTACCATGCACTGATCATCTCCCTATCTGCTGCAAGTTAGGTGTGATACGACATGATCAAGAGCATGGATCCTGGAGCCAGACAGACTGAATATAAACCCCAACTGCTCCACTCAATGGTGATGTGACTCTTGGTAAGGTACGTAACTTCCTTGTGCCTTAGCTTCCTTGTCTGCAAAATGGATATCTCATAGGGGTTTGTGAAGATTAAATAGTTAATATAGTATAAAATGTTTACAACACAGTCAGTGCTATGTAAATGTTCATGATTCCATTTTTCTTGGACACACAGAAGACAAAAAGGAAGAGAAAGCCCCAGACCACTCGGTAGAATCAGTGGGCTGAGAAACCAAAAAACAGCCTAACCGCCATGTTGGGTAGACTCAGAAAGTGTCTCATATGCCTGCACATCCAGAGTTTGAGCAGTCATGGAAATTTAGCAGGGTACCATCAGCCTCAATGCCCAAGCTTTGTTGGTTAATGACACCAAACTAGAAGATGGCAAAAGCAAAGTCAGCACATCCTTTGAGAAGACAGCAGAATCCAATTTGGCAATAAGCTCTAGATCAGTCATGAGATCATCTGGACCTCTAAGAAACATCACAACTACTTATCATAAGGTCACTTATTCACCATATTTCATTGTCGTGATAGAATCTCTAGGTAACTTACTACAATGATGCCAGTTGGCCCATAATAACTGCAGTTCTGCCTCCAGCCTAAGCAGGGTCTATGGAGGGCAAATGCAGTAGAAGGCAAAGGAAGTTCAAGTGCAGTAGTATAGAAACTACAAAGAAAAGTCAAAAGAAATGCTAATAGTATTAATATGTAAATAATAACATTGGATGTCCAATTCTAAACTTTACTGCTTTGTTCCAGACCATACTGCAACATATGTATGGACCAGCTCAGAATGCACAAATCACGGATGGGTGGTTTGTTTTAGGGACAAAAAAGTCAAAGCAGAATAGGAAGAAAAGACATACAATCAAGAACAGCAGGCACAGATGAAAACCAAAGGTCATATTTCACGTCCTGGGCAGTGTTGACACATCTGTCTTGCAGTTAGGTCTACGTGTAGAGTGATCTTGTAGTCAGTAGTATCCTAAATTTATGGAGCAACTGAGTAAGTGTATTAAGTAAAAAACAACTGTTTTATACTCATTATCCTTTTTAATCTCCCCAATAACCCTATGAAATAAGTATTATCTCCTTTTTATGATGAGAAAGTTGAGGTTTGAAAGATTATTTTGTCCAAGGTCACATCCAAGAAGAGGAAGATCTGGGATTTGAACAGAGGCTTATCTGAGACCAAAGTATACACTGTGTCGACTACTCTTTACCAACAAGAGATAAAAGAATACACCCTCCATGGGGGTTGAAAATTAATACGTCAGAGGATACTATGTGCTGAGCTTCTTAGAGAGTTAAGATAAAAACTAAGACATTGTATTTGTTTTTCTGATACAGAACTTGTAGATTTAGCCCTGAAGTTGTATGTTACTTTACTAATTTACATTTAATTATAATCCATATCTAGAGAGACAGGCACCTCTTTGTGATTAATTCCACACTAACCAAAAGAGATCAGTGTGTGCAAATCTGAGAAAAAGCCACAGCAATTTAAAAGCACAAACGAAGAAGCTGTGTGAGTTCTATCACGGAAGGTTTCAAAAAGGACATATATAAATTAATCTATATATGTGTATAACACACACACGTACATACACACACACAACAAGGCAAAATAACAACCAGGTTTGAGGAGGCGAGTGCAGGGGTGAGTTTAGAGAGGACAAGCTTAATAAAGCCTAAAGGAAGTGAGTGAAAGCTTGAAGCAAAATTATAATAAGATCTCTAGGGAAAGATATTAACTAAATCCTTAAATGAAAAATCAGACATCAGAACTCAGAAAGAAAACAAGAATCTGCAGTGATTAAATTGAGGAATGTGTCTTGGGGCGGGCCCGGTGGCATAGCAGTTGGGTTTGCACACTCTGCTTTGGAGGCCTGGGGTTTGCGGGTTCGGATCCCAGGCACAGACCTCCACACTGCTTATCAAGCCATGCTGTGGCGGCGTCCCATATAAAGTAGAGGAAGATGGGCACAGATGTTAGCCCAGGGCCAATCTTCCTCAGCAAAAAGAGGAGGACTGGCAACAGATCTTAGCTCAGGGCTAATCTTCCTCAAACACACAAAAAATTGAGGAATGTGTACCTCATCTTATGCAAATATATGAAAACATAGATTCATATAATAGATAAGCTAGTTATTACTCATGTCCCAGAAGATCCCATACAGTACAAAATAGTATATAATACAATAAATAATAGAATTTAATTTTTTTTTTTTTTTTGGCTGAGTAACATTAGCTCTGAGCTAACATCTGTGCCAATATTCCTCTACTTTATATGTGGGTTGCCGCCACAGCATGGCTGACAAGTGGTGTAGGTCTGCACCTTGGATCTGAACCCGAGAACCTGGGCTGCCGAAGTGAAGCGTGCTGAACTTATCCACTAGGCCATGGGGCTGGCCCCCAACAATAGTATTTTTTTTAAATAGCAAGTTCCCTTATAATTGACTTTAATCCAATTGAAAAATTTAATTTATATACAACTTTTAAACCTCTGAATTTGAGAATGTAAATGCTAGACTTAGTTGCAGTTTCCAAGGTGACTTATTGAATAGGCCTATGTTCATAAGGAACAACACAGGAGATCTCGTAGTGAAGAGGAAAAATGAAGAAAAAAAAAGGGCATGGAAATTGATGGAAGTTTCAGGTCAAACGTAAAATACCAGGTCATTAAAAGAAACAAGAAGGAGAAATAAAGTATTAACAATAAAGAAAAAAAAAGGTGCTGAAGGCATTAATCTCAAGTCACATAGGGCATCTTTTCCAGCTCATTCCATTTTGCAGTGGTAGTAAATTCTGCCTCATTTAAGCCTTGGAGTTTGTATAATGAAACAAAAATTTAATCACAAACTAAAAATAAATATTCTAGCAGGACAAGCCTTAGCCGACAACTAAGAAAATAGAGCATTTTGGGGAGAAGCAGAAAAGACGTGCGATTACTCTATATGAATTAGTATATAAATGACGCAGCTAGGTGGGGCATTTGTGCCATGCCTGTTGAGATTTGAGATTGGAGTTCTCATAACAGACAGTAGAGGCCATAACAGATCAAATTCCTATTGAGGAACCGTCTATGGCCAAGGAAGCCAACCAACAATTCAGAAAAATGATAAAATGGCTCAACTTCAGCTCTCCGGTCCCAAACTATCTAGAATTGTCAGGTACTGGCCAGAGAAAAAAGCTACTGTGAAGAGGGAGCAGCTCAGTCCTAACTTCAAATATTTGCACCCCAAATTTCTGTTACCTTCAAAACTGAATGCTAAAGCTTCATTCAGTTCTTCATGGGAGTTTGCAAGACAGCCCCAATCTCTGCAGCAACCCTACACAAAAGACTTCCTCAGAATACTTGGGGATACAGAAGGTTTGCAGAACAATCCTTCCTTAGGCATAAATTAGAAATGGCTGGTTCCGGGCCGGCCCTATGGCTTAGCGGTTAAGTGCGCGCGCTGCGCAGCTGGCGGCCCGGGTTCAGATCCCGGGCGCGCACCGACGCACCCCTTCTCCTGCCATGCTGAGGCCGCGTCCCACATACAAGCAACTAGAAGGATGTGCAACTATGACACACAACTATCTACTGGGGCTTTGGGGAAAATAAATAAATAAATAAATAAAATTAAGAAATGGCTGGTTCCATTATGCGAAGCCTTCTTCGCTTGCCAGTTTTCCCCATGCTCCCCCAACTCACAGTGGTGAGGTGATGCTCTACCCTCACCACGTGCCCAGTGCCTGACAGTGTCTGACTTCCAGGACTCAGCATGTCTGCGCCCTCATGTGGACCTCACTTTCTCAGGTCTTGCAGGCTCTAGTTGTCTTGTACTTGTTGCACTGTAATCTCTTTCCAGACAATATGACCTTCCCCCTTTCCCCTCCCTTTATGTGGCTTCTTAAATAAATCATTTATGTGAGCAAACATTCTTATTGGGTCATAATATTGCTCAATCTTATTACTTAATAGCCACATTTCATGTAGTGACTAGTACTCAATTCTTAAGAGTCCTGCAATGACCTCCCTCCTTTTATTTCCCAATAACTCTCTTATAACTATCAAGTCTTTATACTGCAGATTCTTCTAGATGGAACCTATTATACTCCAAGGGAACAGTACAGACAATGCTAAGTCAAATAGGCTACTACTCCACTTCTCAGGAGGGCCTAAGATCTAACCATTCTCCTTCTCATATACTCTCACTTTTTTTTTTTTTTTGGTGAGATCAGCCCTGTGCTAACATCTGCCAATCCTCCTCTTTTTTTTTATTTGCTAAGGAAGACTGGCCCTGGGCTAACATCCGTGCCCATCTTCCTCCACTTTATATGGGATGCTGCCACAGCATGGCTTGCCAAGCGGTGCATCTGTGCGCACCCGGGATCTGAACCAGTGAACCCTGGGCCGCTGCAGCAGAGCGCGCGCACTTAACCGCTTGCGCCACCGGGCCGGCCCCATATACTCTCACTCTAATGGAAACATTAAACCATCTACTATATTTTAAATATCAATGTTCACGTTGTTCAAAGGTAAAATCCAGCAAATTTTACTTCTAGGAATGTATGTTAGAGATACATGCAAAAAACTTACAAAGATGCATGCTCAAATGGACTTAACCTAAATGGCATCTATAGAGAATGGCCATTTTTTAAAAAAGAATGATGAGCTTAACTATAAATTCTAATATAGAAAGGTGTTTAAGATGTGTTAAAGAAAGAAAGCAAATTGCAGATCATTAGTATTACCTGAGCCCATCTGTGTGTGTGGGAGAGAGAGAGACAGAGAGATGGGGGAGAGAAATCTTTTTTGCAATGAATGCCTCTATAGAGTGGGACTAGGAGGTAAGCAGAAAAAGTATACCCTTCTTTACTGTTTGAATTTATCACTTTGTGTATTACTTTCATAATGAAAAACCTAGTTTAAAATTTCATTTAATTGAAAGGATCAATAGTGAACAGATGCAATTTTTTAAAACAAGTTGAATCGATCACAGTGTTCTATCACTATACCAATTCTTACCAATTATATAGTATTGGCACTATAAATATATTTTGGAGCTAAAGAAAGCCTAAGAGATTTTCTGGTTAATTTAAGGATCTGTGCTTACAAACTTGTATAAATTAATTTCTATAAATTTGAAGACTACCCTAAAAAAACCCCCAACTCCAAGTAAAAATTACTCAGTGTAAATTTATAGGAAATATATTAACAGAATTCTGTGTATCATTCGCAGTGAACAAGAGTCACAGAGTCAGATTTAGAAGGGACCTTAAAAGTCATCTAGTCCAACCCTCCTAACCTAACAGACAGAATAGGGGGTAAAAAAAATAGCAGCCTGCTGGGGAGACAGCCCACTTGCCTGAAGTCAAGAACAAGTCCTAGGAACTTAGTACAACTAGAAATGTCCCCCCCAAAAAGGGGACATCTGATAATCATTCACTAAAAAAGTATTTTGGTAAAATACGCCAAGTTGCCCAGGTCAGTTTTAAACAAGTCATTTGACTTATTTTTCCAGTTTCAAAGTTTTCAATTTGTTTCAAACCAAAACAAATCAGACCATATTGTAGGTTGATTTTAATGAACAAAAATCTCTGTATAAAAACATTTAAACTTTATCAAATGCTTTAAAAACACACACACAGATCCAAATCCAATACAGAATCTTTCAACATTATCTTTTTTCACCGCAACATAATGTGTAAAGGGATTTCTGGATAAAACTTTACATGTGAAAAAAGAAGACCCATAGTCACACACGCACACACACACACACACACACAATCATTCTTTTAAGGAAGAACAAAAATTTATGCTAAGAATGTGAATGAGATCGGAATGAAGTTCTTATAAAGCTTATATAAAAGAACACTACATGAGTAAAAGGAATTCCTATCCCAGGAGAAGATGCAGAGAGAGGAAAGAGAAAGCAGGGGTTAGCCTAATTCATTAATAAACAGTTTGAGAAGGTCATTGAAGAACAGTAAATTTGGTCATTCAGATAATACCTAGTTTTCACCACCTCAAATTCTGTGAATCTGATAACTGATGATGCTTAAAAAGCATCTATGTTTTCATTTTTTGTAGGTCTTGGTCTGTTCACCATTATTTACGTGCGGTCTGTCCCTCTCGGTGGCTGCTTCCTCGGTTCTCACTCAGTGTCATGTCCTATTCGCCAGGAGCGCCACAGTGAGAAAGGACGGCAGGCGCAGGGCACTGCAAGGCGGGCAGGAACGGATGGCGGATGAGAGCCAGACTGCCTGCGTTTGGATTTCAGCATCACTACCTGCTAGCTGCCTGTGACTGAGCAAGCTACTTAGCCACTGTATGTCTCCATTCCTTATCTTCAGTTAGGGATCATTATTACCTACTTCATATAGAATTATTTAGAGGATTTAAATAAGATAATCTATTTAAAGAATTTATCACACTGCCAGGCACAAGTAAATGCTCAATAAATAAATGTTAGCTAAAATTACTATTAGTCATAATAGTACAGGGGGACCACAAGAAAAATTCTATTCTATCTCTGTATTTCTCCTCTTTGATGAGGTTTTCAGGGGCCAATTGTGGCAAAAAGCCAGTATGTTTGATGCAAAAAAGACTGAGGATCTAGTCTTATGAATATAGATGTACACTTTTTATATTAGAAAAAAATTACATGGCTCCATATCACAAAATTTAACATCTTTCCATTAAACATCACACAATTCTCATCATCATTATGCCCTACATATTCCCTAACTGATGTGGAGTTTCTACTGATATTCAACAACAACAGGGTCCAGAAATTTTAACTAAGAAATAGCTGCAGAAATGCATGTTGGGCCGTAATCTGTGTGTGCCACAAGAGCTTAGGCCAACACAGATGGCCGGGATTCTGCCTCCATGGCCTGGACTCCTCCACACACAGTCAGATGGGTCAGGTTCCTGCAGACTCTCAAATCTCCATGCGAGACCCTCTGCAGGAGGGAGTTTCCAAGAGGTGAAGGAAGCAGCAGCCACTGAGCATGGAAAGCCCCACACCTACTTCAATATGATGTGATAGCTATCATTGGTTTCTGCTGTAAAAAAAAAAAAAAAAAAAAGAATAATCTTTAGTCACCTATAAAATATGGTAGGAGGAAAAAAATATAAGGTTCTTCTGAGAAGGAAAAAAAACAAAGCAGGACAAAGGGCAGTATACTTATTAATTATCACAATACTTATAATAAATATGCATTATAAAACAACATGCCTCAGTTTCCTCATTTGTCCATGGAAGGTAGAAGAGAATGGCAGAAAGTCATCACTTATTTTTTGTCTACTTTGAAAATAATATCCCTTTCTCTACCTCAAATTTGGTAGTTGATACTTTCCCTCTCTCGTCAAAGAAGTAAAGTATGGAAAAAGTGCTTAAACTCCTTAGAGAGAAACATTTATCTTACTATTTTACCTTTCATTGTGTCCAGAATAAAACAGGCTTCTTCCTGAAAGTTCTGTATCATCTGAAAAAAGCAAGAAAATTTGCTAATTACTAAAAATTCTGATTTGCTGCATGTATTTTGACTATGTGGCTTTTTATTATATTAGATTTAAGTGAAAAATAATCCTTTGTTTTGTTTTCTCCCCTGTTTAGTTTTTTTTCTAAAGATTTTATTTATTTTAAAAAATTTTTCCCCCCAAAGCCCCAGTGGATAGCTGTGTGTCGTAGCTGCACATCCTTCCAGTCGCTGCATGTGGGACTCGGCCCCAGGATGAACGGAGAAGTGGTGCCTTGATGCGCACCCGGGATCCGAACCCGGGTCACCAGCATCGCAGCGCGCGCACTTAACCACCAAGCCACAGGGCCGGCCCTCCCCTGTTTAGTTTTTAAGTTTTAAAAGCTAAGCAGTCTAAAACAGTGATCTTAAAATTATAGTATGCATTTTCCTGGGTTAACTCCAAGACTTTCCAAGGGGTACACAGACACGGATAGGCCCATATGGGAGAACTGACTTCTAGGTCTTCAACTTCCATATGTATTCTTTCCTAAAACTGCCTGACAACCTCTCCAGTTTTCCTTTCCCACTTTCCCTTCTCAAACTCCCTTTTCCCATTTTAGAAAATAAAGGCATGAGTTTCACCCTCCTGAAATCCTACCAGGATGCACTGCCCCAGGTATAAAAGCCTCCAGGTTGCTAAAGTGTAACTGCAAATGTGAACTCTACTGACAAGGTAACAAGCTCTTGTGTGAGTCACATGGGGCCAATTCTTTCCTTTCACCAGAACTGAAGAGTGACCTAATCACAAAATGTCAAATGACAGGTGATTCAACATAACGTTTTATAACATCACTGTGTAATTTTTGGCACATAACTCAGAAGTTCAGAAAAATCCAGTGATGCTGTTATAACAAAACTCGATCCAACGAAAAACTTGATGAGATGGACTTAATAGATATATACAGAGCACTCCATTCAAACACAGCAGATTATACATTCTTCTCAAAGGCGCATGGAACATTCTCAAGAATAGACTATATGCTGGGAAACAAGGCATGCTTATATAAATTTAAGAAGATTGAAATCAGGGGCCGGCCCCGTGGCATAGCGGTTAAGTGCACGTGCTCCACTGCTGGTGGCCCGGGTTTGGATCCCAGACACACACCCACGCGCCGCTTGTCAGGCCATGCTGTGGCGGTGTCCCACATAAAGTGGAGGAAGATCAGCACGGATGTTAGCTCAAGGCCAGCCTTTCTCAGCAAAAAGAGGAGGGTTGGCATGGATGTTAGCTCAGGGCTGATCTTCCTCACCAAAAAAAAGATGGAAATCATAACAAGCATCTTTTCTGACCATAATGCCATGAAGCTAGAAATCAACTACAAGAAAAAAACCGGGAAAGTGATAACGCTGTGGAGACTCAACAACATGCTACTAAACAACCAATGGATCATCAATGAAATTAAAAGAGAAATAAAATCATATATGGAGACAAATGAAAATGAAATACACCATACCAACTCATATGGGATGCAGCAAAAGTGGTCCTGAGAGGGAAACTCATAGCAATATAGGCCCACCTTAACAAACAAGAAAAAGCCCAAATAAGCAACCTCAAACTGCGCCTAACAGAATTAGAAAAAGAAGAACAAACAAAGTCTAAAGTCAGCAGAAGGAGGGAAATAATAAAAATCAGAGCAGAAATAAATGAAAATGAAATTTAAAAAAACAGTAGAAAGGATCAATGAAACTAAGAGCTGGTTCTTTGAGAAGATAAACAAAATTGACAAACCCTTAGCCAGACTCACCAAAAAAAAAAGAGAGAGGGCTCAAATAAATAAAATTAGAAATGAAAAAGGAGAAATTACAACAGATAACACAGAAATATAAAAGAGTATAAGAGGGGCCAGCCCCGTGGTATAGCGGTTAAGTGCATGCGCTCTGCTGCTGGTGGCCCAGGTTTGGATCCCAGGTGCACACTGATGCACCGCTTGTCAGGCCATGCTGTGGCAGCGTCCCACATAAAGTGGAGGAAGATCGGCACAGATGTTAGCTCAGGGCCAGTCTTCCTCAGCAAAAAGAGGAGCATTGGCATGGATGTTAGCTCAGGGCTGATCTTCCTTACAAAAAAATAAATAAATAAAAATAAAAGAGTATAAGAGAATACTATGAAAAACTATATGCCAACAAATCAGACAATCTAGAAGCAATGGATAAATCCTTAGACTCATATAACCTCCCAAAACTGAATCAAGAAGAAACAGAGAACCTGAATAGCCCAATCACAAGTAAAGAGATTGAAACAGTAATCAAAAACCTCCCAAAAAATAAAAGTCCAAGACCAGATTGCTTCTCTGGAGAATTTTACCAAACATTCAAAGAAGATTTAATACCTATCCTTCTCAAACTATTCCAAAAAACAGAGGAAGATGGAACACTTCCCAACACATTCTATGAGGCCAATGTCACTCTGATACCAAAGTTAGACAAAGACAATACTAAGAAGGAAAACTACAGACCAATATCCCTGATGAACACAGATGCAGAAATCCTCAACAAAATATTGGCCAACCGAATACAGCAATACATTAAAAAGATCATACACCATGATCAAGTGGGATTTATACCAGGGACACAGGGATGGTTCAGCATCTGCAAATTAATCAATGTGATATACCACATTAACAAAATGAGGAATAAAAACCATATAATCATCTCAATAGACACAGAGAGGGCATTTGACAAGATCCAACATCGATTTATGATAAAAACTCTCAACAAAATGGGTATAGGAGGAAAGTACCTTAACATAATAAAAGCCACATATGACAAACCCACAGCCATCATCATTCTCAACAGGGAAAAACTGAAAGCCATCCCTCTGAAAACAGGAACAAGGCAAGGGTGCCCACTGTCGCCACGCTTATTCAACACAGTACTGGAGGTTCCAGCCAGAGCAATTAGGCAAGAAAAAGGAATAAAAGGAATCCAAATGGGCAACGAAGAAGTGAAACTCTTGCTGTTTGCAGATGACATGATCTTATATATAGAAAACCCTAAAGAATCCACTGGAAAACGATCAGAAATAATCAACAACTACAGCAAAGTTGCAGGGTACAAAATCAACTTACAGAAATCATTTGCATTTCTATATACCAACAATGAACTAACAGAAAGACAACTCAAGAAGAAAATCCCATTTACAATTGCAACAAAAAGAATAAAATATCTAGGAATAAATTTAACCAAGGAAGTGAAAGACCTATACAATGAAAACTGTAAGACATTATTGAAAGAAATCAATGATCACATAAAGAAATGGAAAAATATTCCATGCACTTGGATTGGAAGAATAAACACAGTTAAAATGTCCATACTACCTAAAGCAATCCACAGATTCAATGCAATCCCAATCAGAATCCCAGGGGCATTCTTCAAGGAAATAGAACAAAGAATACTAAAATTCATATGGGGCAACAAAAGACCCCAAATAGCTAAAGCAATCCTGAGAGGGGCCGGCCCCGTGGCGTAGCAGTTAAGCGCTCACACTCCGCTGCTTGCGGCCTGGGTTCGGATCCCGGGCACACACCGACGCACTGCTTGTCAGGCCATGCTGTGGCGGCATCCCACATAAACTGGAGGAAGATCGGCATGGTTGTTAGCTCAGGGCCAGTCTTCCTCAGCAAAAAGAGGAGGACTGGCATGGATGTTAGCTCAAGGCTGATCTTCCTCACACACAAAAAATAAATAAATAAAGCAATCCTGAGAAAAAAGAACAAAGCTGGAGGCATCACAATCCCTGACTTCAAAACATACTACAAAGTGACAGTAATTAAAACAGCATGGTACTGGTACAAAAACAGACACACAGATCAATGGAACAGAATTGAAAGCCCAGAAATAAAACCTCACATCTACCAGCAGCTAATCTTTGACAAAGGAGCTAAGAACCTACAATGGAGAAAGGAAAGTTTCTTCAATAAATGGTGCTGGGAAAACTGGACAGCCATTTGCAAAAGAATGAAAGTAGACCATCTTCTTTCGCCATACACAAAAATTAACTCAAAATGGATCCAAGACCTGAAGGTGAGACCTGAAACTATAAAACTCCTGGAAGAAAACATAGGCAGTACACTATTCGTCATCGGCCATGAAGGGATCTTTTTGAATGCCATGTCTACTCGGACAAGGGAAACAAAAGAAAAAATAAACAAGTGGGACTTCATCAGATTAAAGAGCTTCTACAAGGCAAATGAAACTAGGATCAAAATGAACAGGCAACTACCAGCTGGGAAAAAATATAAACCATATATCTGACAAGGAATTAATCTCCATAATATATAAGAAACTCACGCAACTGAAGAACAAAAAAACAAACAAGCTGATCAAAAAATGGGCAGAGCGGGGGCTGGCTTGGTGGCGCAGCAGTTAAGTGCGTGCCCTCCACTTCGGCGGCCTGGGGTTCGAAGGTTCGGATCCCCGGTGCGCACCGATGCACTGCTTGTCAAGCCATGCTGTGCCAGTGTCCCATGTAAAGTAGAGGAAGATGGGCATGGATGTTGGCCCAGGGCCAATCTTCCTCAGCAAAAAGAGGAGGACTGGCATCAGATGTTAGCTCAGGGCTAGTCTTCCTCACAAAAAAAATGGGCCGAGGAAATGAACAGATACTTCTCCAAAGAAGACATACAGATAGCCAAAAGGCACATAAAAGATGCTCAACATCACTAATCATCAGGGAAATGCAAATCAAAACCACACTAAGATATCATCTTACACCCGTTAGAATGGCTATAATCACCAAAACAAAAAACAATAAATGCTGGAGAGGCTGTGGAGAAATGGAAACCCTAATCCACTGCTGGTGGGAATGCCAACTGGCATAGCCTCTACGGAAAACAGTATGGAGATTCCTCAAAAAATTAAAAATAGAAATACCTTATGATCCAGCTATCTCACGACTGGGTATCTACCCAATGAACCCGAAATCAACAATCCAAAGAGGCTTATGCACCCCATGTTCATCACAGCATTACTGTCCCTCAACTGATGAGTGGATAAAGAAGATGTGGTATATATACCATGGAGTACTACTCAGCCATAAAAAAAGACAAAATTTTCCCATTTCCAACATGGATGGACCTGGAGGGTATTACATTAAGCAAAATAAGCCAGAAAGAGAAAGACAAACACTGCGTGATTTCACTCATACGTGGAAGATAAACCAACACACGGACAGATAGAACTGTTTGGTGGCTACCAGGGGCTAGAGGGGTGGGCGGTGGGCACAAGGGGTGAAGGGATGCATTTATATGGTGACTGACAAACAATAATGTACAACAAAAATTTCACAATAAAAAAAAAAAGATTCCCCAAAACTCCATCCATTCCTGTCTAGCAAGTTATGTGAATCAGGTTCCACAACACTTTATATCTAGAGGAAAAAAGCAGGATGGAATTGATACTGAACTCTACTTCATTCTAGCAATCAATAGGCAGTACTCATCTACAGATGAATTAATTGTGTACAGAGATGATGGTAGGGAATCAAACAATCCCATTCATCTCATTAACAGATGCACTTCTAATAAGTTTTTCTCTTAATGTTTAATAATTAATAAAACATAATACATTTGTTGTTTTAAATGATTGTATAATTATGATGATAATTCTATTCAGAAGAAATAATTTTTACTGAAACAAATTTTTGTTTCAAAGAAATATGGTAGGGTAGTGCCGGCCCCATGGCCGAATGGTTCAAGTTCCGCATGCTCTGCTTTGGCAGCCCGGGTTCGTGGGTTTGGATCCCGGGCATGGAACTAATGCTGTGGAGGCATCTCACATACAAAATAGAGGAGGATTGGCAGGGATGTTAGCTCAGGGCTAGTCTTCCTCAAACGGGGCGGGGGGAGGGGGGGAGGGATATGATAGGATAATTAATAAAACATGTTTGAGCGTAAAAATAGGTTATGGTAAGATAAAATTCTACAGGAGAAGTGAATGGAAATATGAGTTCAAGGAAACAAAGAAATGATATAAAAATTCTTTAAAGAAAAGTATATTCATGTATTTTTTTAAACAGATGATGGTAGTATTAAATCACCCCTGTATCTAGGTTACATGGAATACAGTTAGAATAGCGAAGTCTTTAAATGTCTTTAAATGTCTTTAAATGTCAGATGCCCAGAAACAACATCTTTTGCAACTATTTAAACTTAAAAAATTTTAAGTCAGCCTAAAAATGTGCAAGTGGATACATGGTTTTTAAGAATTATTTTAGGAAGCAAGCAAGCAAAAACGTTTGAAAACCTCTGATCTAGAAAACAGAGCACTCTGCCCCAATAGAACTGCTCTTGCTCCTGTCACACGCCCTGACACATCAACTGTCCTCTGGTAATTCAGCTGCACTGAAAATCCACCTCATCACTAATGAGCACATGGATTCCTGTTGGCCCCTGCTTGTAGATCTGGCTGATCTGGCGAGGGGAAATGCTGAAAAGCTGAGCAATTTTTTCTGTCAGTTCCACAGCTGTCAGTTCTTCGAGATAGATGGCATGGTACACTGCAAAAGGGAGAGAGCAATGGCGTCAGTACAAAGTTTCTCTGCTCTTAAAGGTAATCTGATCACTAGGAATGCCCACTATTCTGGACTCAGAGTCCGACTGCTGGAGTTCAAATCCTGGCTCAGCCAGTTGCTAGCTGTGTGACCTGAGGCAAGTTATTTAACATCCCTAAGCCTCATTTTCCTCATCTAAATGTCGGCAATAACAATAAAATCTGCAAAGAGGAGATACTAGTGGTAAAAATTAAAGCCTGGCACATATGAGGAACTCGATGAATGTTAGCAATTGCCATTATTTCTAGTAAATGCTGAATCTGCTGTTTGATAAATTCCCATCACACACGCTCATAAGTCATCTCTGCACCTTTCTCCATATCTGTCCTGGCCAGTCCAGAACGACCTACCAAAGAAAGAGCCATTTGAGTCTCCATCCTCATGCTTCTGCTGCTGTTGCTGCTGCTGTTGCTGCTGCTCCCTCAGCTGCAAGGACTCCTGACAAACATAAATGGTTAGCCTTGGGCGCACCATCCTAAGGAGGAACAAAATGAGTGTTAGTCTTACATTTTTCATGTAAGCACATTTTAAGGGAGAACTTGTGTGTCTACATTAATACTATAGAGCAGGGGTTGAAAACTGGCAGCCCATGGGCCAATGCAGCTCATTTGCTATGTTTTATTAGCTCCTCATTGGTGTGTGTGTTATTTTTCTAATCTGAATTTATTCCAACAGAGGGTAGCATATAAACCTCTGAATTTTTGGCTTTTCTTGAAAAATCAGTCTGGCAATCCAAGGCCCTCATTCTTTTTTTTTTTTTTAAGATTTTATTTATTTATTTATTTTCCCCCCCAAGCCCCAGTAGATAGTTGTACGTCATAGCTGCACATCCTTCTAGTTGCTGTATGTGGGACGCGGCCTCAGCATGGCCGGAGAAGCAGTGTGTTGGTGCGCGCCTGGGATCCGAACCCGGGCCGCCAGCAGCAGAGCGTGAGCACTTAACCGCTAAGCCATGGGGCTGGCCCCAAGGCCCTCATTCTTACAAGAAAACAGTCAGCTGGTCTTCTTGCATGTTGCATGCATTCCTCAGTTCACCCCAGACTTGACTGTCACTCATTGACATGTGGCCTTTGTAGTCATTTGAGTTTGTGACCTTTGATGTAAAGGTTAGAAATATTCAAAATATGTGAGCTACTGTTTTATGGGTCAGGTTTAAGGTATACCTTTTACTTAAAAGCACCAATATAGTAAACTGGAGAATCTTACTGCCCTTGTTACCTTCTCCTAAATAGCCTAAGCCTTCATTCTGTACTTACTTCTTAGACAATGATATTCAATTACCTCTTGATCAGATCATCTTATTCCTTCCTATGTCTAAATGCTCTTTGGATAATACATGAAAAAATGAAAGATCCATTATTTTTTCCCCAAGTCATCAACCCCTGAATTTCACCTCTTTATTTAAAATTTTCCTAGATTACAGCCAACCAAGAGATACAATATCTCTTGTAATGTACCCAAACACAAATACTTCACTATCTGTTTCATTAGTTAGTCAATGATTTGGTTCTGTGGTATAAACCTGTACCTTTTTTCCATTAACATTACCATTACCTATTTAAAATGGTAAATCCCACATAGGAACTACAAATTACTCTGTATAACAAGTTAATATTTTTAAGCAGACACTTAAGAAATTCCTACCCAAACTTAAGAATGACGTCTTCTCCAGTTGAAACTGACTCAGGGACTTTGTACCTGTTATTTCTTCTGCCTAGAACACTCTTCCCTCACATGACCCCATAGCTTCCATCCTTCTCATAATTCAGTTTAAATATCCCCTCCTCAGAGAGGTCTTTCCTGACCATATTCTGGATACTCTATAGGGCACAACCCTGTTTTTATTTATTTGTTTGTTTTGTTTCCCTTCGGAGTACTTATCACTATCCAAAATACTTATTGTTCATATCTCTACCTCTCTCTGCATTAGAAAGTAAACTCCATGATAATAGGTACCTTGTCTGTTTTGCTCACCAATCTATCCCCAGAGCCTACAGTAGTACCTGGCTCATAATAGAGATAAATGAATATTTATTAAATGAAAAAGCTACCTGGAAATGAAAAATGGGATATCATGGGGAATTCCTTGGATCAAGCATAGGAAAAGATATTTTCCATCTTTGTTTATTTGGTACATAGCTGGCATTCATTCAAAAAGGATGTTTTGACAAGATGTATTTAGCTGTGCAAAAGAGTACTGTGAAGAGTTCCTGAATCCAAATCCATCTGAAATCCAACCTCACAGATATTTTAACACTAATTACATACCGGCCTTTTAATGCATTAAAAAGTCTGATTCCATCTGCAGGGCCACAGATTTGGATCACATCATCTCTAGTTAGTTTCAATAAATCTGCCCCTGGAATAAAATGGGTGATAAAGGCAAAGATTCTCTTGGTTAATGACTATTAAAATGGGCTCTGTTACAAGGACAATTCATTACTAGTATATTACAGTCCATAACCTTTTGCATGGTATATAAGGCTCTCCAAGACCTGGCCCCTGCTTCCTCTCCGACCTCAATTCCCACGCAATTAACTTCTCCATTTAACCCCGTGCTTTCATCATACTGACGATGTCTAATGAGCAAGCTGTTCTCCTGCCTGAAATATCCTTCCACTGTCTGACCAACGGACCCCTCCTCATCCCCCAAGATTTACCTCACGCGTCACACATTCCATAACCCCAGACCCTTCCACAAATGCCTCACTTTGTACACACTTACCTACTGTATCATAACTATTTATTTACCTTTTTTCAGGGTTTTATTTTAATTTGTTGGTTTATTTTTTTGATACTAGATGATGAATGATCAGGAAGTATGCCTTATCCATTTGTGTATTCCTACCACACCTGGTACACAGAGGTGCTAAATAAAAGTAGAAGGTGCAAACAAAATACAATATAGTGATATCAAGGGGAAAATTTCAGACTACCTGCATATGCCCCTTGATAAAATACTGTATGGAATACACATTTTAAAAAGTGTTGTACAGAATAAATATTTTAAAATTAAAGCGAGTTTAAACTAAGAAGTCTTTCTTTTTAAGTATTTCACAGCACAGATGCAGCAGCTGGTGAGAAAGTCTGAAGGGCTCAATGAAATTCATTTAATCAGAAAAATGCACTAAGATCACACACACACACACACACACACACACACACACACTGAGAGAGAGAGAGAAAACCTCACATGGATACCAGGAGGCCCTAGAATGTAAAGGAATATTTTGTGCTGGGGAAAACAAAAGGACAAGCAAATTTAACCTGAGAAGTTTGTAAAAAGCCTTGTGAATGTGGAAAAACGGTTTCGATGCAACCACTGCTGAGCTTCCTGAGGTGTGGTTGTTGGCAAGAGGTTCTGAAAGAGAGAAAGCATTTTTTTGGTAACTAAATAGATCCATCTGTTACATCATTAGGTAACACATAGCCAAACACACCCACACTCAGCACACCTTGTTTGCTTGGAAGTTGTTTATATCACATCAGTCTTCTTTCTCTAACCATACAAGATCCCCATGGAATTCCATCCTTATCTTTCCAACTAGACTGTAAGCTCCTTAAATGCAAGAGTCCTGCATTACTTGTTTCATATCTCCAGTCCCTAGCATAGTATCTGGTTCATTATCAAAATTCAATAAATATTTGTTTAATGAATAAATGAATAATATTCCCTAAAAGTTGATACAGTCATCAAAGTATTATTAGACATTGCAAATAACTGACATTTAACTTTAGACTTACATCTGTGACTGGAGGGGGCGGCTCTGGCTGGTGATTTGGTGAACCATTTCTAAAAAAACATTTAAAAATGCAAGGATGGGTACATGACACATACTAGGGTTCATCATCTCATTCTTCATCCTTATCATGAGTCTTACGCTAGAGATTTAAAGGAATCCATGCTCTCTCATAAAACATTCTTACTCTTGGACCCAATACTTCTATTATGTTACTTTAACAAAAAGAATTTGGGCGAGGGGTGGAGAGGGGCAGGGAACTATGCCATTTGCAACATTTCCCCCCCTACAAGACAGCTGGTTTTATTTTGCATAGCTATTATTATAAAGAAAAGTCATTTGAGAGGAAAAATTTGATTCTCAGATATCAGGTTCAATGACTCTGAAAATCAGATACTTAGAGGTGTTTATTTGCTTGCCTCTGTAACATTTTTTATTATTAGGGAAATTGAAAAAAACCCAACATTTCAATAAGTTGGGACTGATTAGATACATTATGGCATAAAGAACATTTAACATAAGAAATTTATTAGAATGGAAACTAAAAATATCAGAATTTAAAAGTAATCAATATATTACTACTATATTAAATATATAAATATACACACAAACATATACAGGAAAAATATTAGAAGAAAATTATGTAACGCAATGTGATCACACATTTTTATAAGGAAAAACACTTAATAATTATTTTTAAAGCAGCCTCAGAAATTGGTGCTGTCTGATTTGTGATCCAAGGGCTATCTCCACACCCTTGGTTTTTCCTTACACTTCCTTTTGCTCTACAGATTGTCCCTCTTCCCTAATGCTTACAGTTTTTATGGGAGAAAAATTTGAGCCTAATAATGAAGTAATAACAAAGAGAAGACAAAAATTTTAAAAACACAACTCTTAAATGCTGTATATTATTTAAAATTGCCTATAAGTAGACTGCATAATCCCGTATGAATGGTAAGAGATTTTTCTTCAAAAAAGATCTTCTTCTTCTTCTTCTACTTCCTTTTTTGACTTAGCTACAAAATTCAACTTCAGTATTCAAATGTAATAATTAACTTATCTCAGGGCCTAGTTATCTATTCCTTCTACAACTTCTACCTATTTTTATTCTTAATGATTACATTTTGAATATTTAAGTTACCTTGATTAAATACTTTTAGAAGTAGGTTGAACATAGAGCCTACATAAGTTCAAAAACAAACATTACAACCAAACAATGTACTCACAAATTTAGTAGCTTAACTATTTCAAATTTCAATATGGCCTATGTGGAATACGTGTTAAATGCTAAGACTATAAGACAACTTATTTTAACTGGAGTAGGCATCTGTACCAACTTTCAATTATCTCTCATGGTGAAAACCAATAAGGCAAGATTAAATGCATCCCATAGATAATTCCAAAACTTCATTTTAGCTATCACCTTCAACCTTCTTTCCCCAATTATCAAAGATTCATAATAATTAGGTGTCAGGATCATTCTTAACAAGTAACAAAACAGATTTTTAGTGTTTGTACAACTGTGTTTCAATTCCCCATGACCACTCACTGGTGAAAGTATTATCAGGAAGTGAAATAACACAAGATGAGCAGTAACAAGGAGAAGTGAAAAGCCTAGAAAATCAGTCCTTGAATCACTATAAACTTACCATAAAAGCTATCTTCTAATGGGAGAAAAAAAAGAAGAAGAAGAAGAGAAAGGGCTATATAAAACTCTCTCAGTTCTTCTGAAGAGAATCCAAACCTCAGTTAACATATAAATCCATCAAAGACTGACCAAATAGAAGAACTTACTGATTTGGAAAGATCTTGTTTATGGAAAAATAATGAAAGAATACATATTTAGGACAAACACAAGCTGATTTCATTTCCCAGACTTACCCTTCCCCAAGAGAAAAACTGCTGTGGGAACTGTTGAAGCCAGGTGATGGGGAGTTATTGACATATGTTATCTCGGGCCATGGAGAACACTAAAAACAAAGGACAACTTAGATACTCAAAAGTGCATTTGACTCTAGTGTGCCACCAAAACATTGTTACTTGAATAGCACATCTTAATTAGTAAATCTTAATTCCTCCGAGGCCCCCACAGGTAAGAGAGAATAGACACAGGACAAGTAAGTTCTGACCAGGCTGGAAGTGATGGTTTTATTTTTTTTAATTGAGATATAATTGACATTTAACATTGTATTAGCTGTAGGTGTACAACATAACGATTTGATATATGTATACATTGCAAAATGATTGGATTTTTCTTTTAAGACTAAAAAGTACTCACTGAAATTGTCACCAAAAGAAATCCTTTTACCTCTGTGAGTATAGTTGTCTCATAGGAAGGTTGATATTTCTCCTTTTCATGAGGTGTCCGTTTCTCCATTTTCTCCCTATCTGTTTTTTGCTTTCTGTCTGCACCTTTGGGCTGAAATGAAAAATATTTTGTTTTAAACTCAAGTACTGACCCTTTGACCCAACAATATTACTTATAAAAACTTCAAGAGTCACACATGAAGTGAAGATGGATGTATAATGATGTAAAAACAAGTGCATCATTGCATCTAAGTCTGAAAATAGGAAATTTAAATGTTTGATGGAGTTGAAAAAGAATAAGATCTACAGCTATTGACATGGAAAGATCTCTAAAGCACACAGTTAAGTGAAAAAAGCAAGCCTCAAAACAATTCATCAACAATTCCTATTTATGTTTCAAAGAAAATATGCATACACCTATGAACATGTGTATATAACAGCACAGAAGGGGACTAGAAGGATATATACTAAATTATGGCAGTGGTTACCTCTGGGGAGAGGCTGGGGAATCAGGGTAAGAGTGGCAAAGGGGGCTTCAGTGTCGTGCTCTGAATACTTCTGTATTAATGAATCTTTTGCAAAGAGAACACATTTATCCATGTGATAAAAATAAAGACCAAAATAAGGAATGAAAATCAAGTACAAATGTAACCAAAATGTTCAACTTTTCTTAATTTTTGTGAGCTTTTACAAGAGCTTATAACTTAGACAGGCTTTAAGAGCTTTCTATGAAAATCAATGTTTTTGCTTCTCACTCCCTTCTCCCACACCCATCCCTGTTTAAATTTCTTTACCAGACATCTCAGTAATTATTTCAGTGACTCTAGCTTAGACTGAGTCTTCACAGTTTTTGAAAAAAGACAAGGTGACCTCCTGACTTAGTGAATAATGTTAAAATCGAAAGATGAAGACAAAAATTCCAAGGACCAACACACTGCCCAGGAATACCTTGAAGACTTTGATCTGGCAGCTAGCTGAGTGTAAGTGCTCAGTATATTCCCCGTTCTCATTCTCCTTGAAGGTATCAATCTGTACTCGGAAGGGCACTCCCTTTTCTCCGCCATGTTTCCTCATAGTGAACTCTGTGCTAATACAGTGCACCTGAAAAGAACACAGCATCCGGGTTTGAGTACTGCTACATGGCCAAGCAGTCAGCAACATTTTTGACCAACTACTAACAGCAAAAACCTTTAAAAAGCATTATGAATGTCTACAAAAGAAGTTTTCCTCTCTTTTTTATCTTGAAGAATTTACACTCTAATGGAGGAAATGAGGAAAACTTAAATGCTTTACAAATGTAAACAAAATAAACGTAGAGATCTCATGCTAACAAAAGATACTGTGAGGCTCTAAATCCATTTACTGCTTCAGAGAATATAGAGTTAACATAAAAGAGAAATGATTTCTGTTTCCTGGATTTTAAAGTAGATTTTAGAAAGCAGAGGCACCAACCATGCTGGAAAATTAATAAATACAAAAGCTCACAGGCACTGGGGGGAAAAAGGTTCGCTTGGCTACTGCATAAAGTCTGAGACGTTGGTGAATCTTAGTAGTGGAACCTGGATCAACCACATACTAGTTTGGGTATGTTATTAACTTCTCTAAGCCTCAAGGACTATTCCTACGCTACAAGATTATTGTTGAAAGTCTTAAATAAAATTATGTACACATTATACAAATCATGTATAAAATCATGTTTACTCAATACAGTGACTATCTCATCAGAAGTACTCAATAAACTATTAGCTATCATTATGACAAACAGGAATTTTCAAGGAAGCTACCCAAAGGATATAACCAGATATGCAAATCAAATTTTAAGTATAAGGATGTTCAAAATAACTTTATGGATAATAGTGAAAAATTAGGACAATCTAAACGCTAAAAAATTGTTACGTTAAATTATGATACATTCAAAGAATAAAATATTGTGCAGCCACTAGCAAGCATTTTTGAGAGAAACAAATAAATAAATTGGAGAAATGAGAAAAGCAATTCAGAAACTCCTCATTGCTCTCAGACACGTGTTAAGGGGTCTGCACTTGATAGTCAGGCTGGAACCCTGTAAAGATTTTAAATTCAACATGTTTTATCCTTGAAGAAATAAATAGGGGGCCGGCCTGGTGGCACAGTGGTTAAGTTCGCGTGCTCTGCTTCGGCGGCCCGGGGTTCACAGGTTCAGATCTCAGGCGCGGACCTATGCACCTCTTGTGAAGCCATGCTGTGATGGCGTCCCATATAAAGTAGAGAAAAATGGGCACGGATGTTAGCCCAGGGCCAATCTTCCTCAGCAGAGGAGGACTGGCAACATATTTTAGCTCAGGGCTAATCTCCCTCACACACACACACACACAAAACATATAAAAAAGAAATAAAGTGGTAGTAAGAGATGTTCTTCATAACTAGAACCCCCTCTGCAATGCCTTACCTGAATAAACACCGATGTCCTCTTTGCAGGGTCCCACAGGAACTCCACTGTATTGAGTTGGGTTGGATTAGCCCTAGGATCGATTATACCCACAGACATTGGGATATCTGAGAAACAAATGGTAATCATTGAACAATTCTGAGTGCTACTGGGTTTAAATGAGAAAGCACTGATTCTTACATTATCAGTCCCTAATTACCAGGATTTTTGTGTATCCTAACCCTCTTTTTGCCAATAAAAAGGGTGTGATTATAGAGCTAAAATTGACCTAGGGACTTTCCTTTTGAGTATCTTTTTTCCACTAAAAAAAGTTTTTAAAATAAGACAATTTGAAAGCAGTTTGTTTTAATTTGCCAAAATTCCACTTAAAGATAGATTTAGTCTACACTTAGTCTAGCTCTAGTGTCATGAAAATTGTAATTTATAATCTGCTTCACTTACAGTTTTAAGATTAGTGTTCCTGCTAGCAGTACACTAAGAGGACTGCTACAGAAGGATAAAGCTGAGCATCTGAATAAAGGCAGAAAGCACTGTATCACAATAGTAGAAGTGGGAAAATTTTAATGTAAAGATTGATGCTGATTTATGAAGTCATCAAATAATCCTATTACACAGAGTGACAAATCTCATACTCAAGAAGGAAGCAAAAATGAATGGGCTTTAGTAGAACTTTGCTTTCCATTCCACATGTCATATACTCAAATATCATTTTCTGACTTCTATTATTATTCAGACTAGGGAGATAAGGCCAGGCTGATATTTATTACCATAACTGTGCTATACCTATACTACTGTTTTAGTATCAATGATTCAAACAAGAAAACATTAAGTGGATCCCACTCCACAGTGTTAGCTGTTTGAATTCATCTTAAAGTCAGTTCATCAAATGGACATCAGGATACCTATATGAGAACCAGTGTTTTCTCAGCTAAAACTAGTAGTACTTAGATTTGTTTAACAACTATATTTACCAATAGGAGATAATAATCAGTAAGAGATCAAAGACACAGATGCCAAGATTAAAAGTACATTCATGAAGAGAGACTGCATGTGTGTTTGTAAAGATCCTTCCTTTATGTCCTGTGATTTAAGAAAAACAAATTCTGGGCCGGCCCTGTGGCTTAGCAGTTAAGTGCACGCGCTCCGCTGCTGGCGGCCCGGGTTCGGATGCCGGGCGCGCACCGACGCACCGCTTCTCCGGCCATGCTGAGGCCGCGTCCCACGTACAGCAACTAGAAGGATGTGCAGCTATGACATACAACTATCTACTGTGGCTTCGGGGGAAAAAAATAAATAAAATTATTAAAAAAAAAAAGAAAGAAAAACAAATTCTATTCTGTGTAGCAAAGTAGTAGACAAAAAACCTGACCTGCAAACACAGAGACATAGATTCTAATCCCAGGTCTCTAACTTTAGGTAAAACAAACCACTAACCTGGCTCTCAGGTATTAGTAAAATAAAAGAATGTGCAGCATTTGGGGAAAAAACCTGGCCCCTTTTACATACTACTCAAAACAAAATATCACACTCTGACTAGCCAAAACAATCTTGAAAAATAACAAAGTTGGAGGTCTCATACTTTCTGATTGCAAAAGTTAAAGTTATCAAAACAGTGTGTTTAAAGATAGACTTACAGACAAATGTGTGAATAGACAGAATAGAGAACCCAGAAATAAACTCTCACATATATGATCAAATGATTTTCGACAAGGATGCCAAGAGCATTCAATGGGGAAAGAATAGTCTTTTCAACAAATAGTAACTGGATGTCCACATGCAAGGAATGAAGTTGGAGCCTTACTTTACACCATATACAAAAATTAACTAAAAAATGGATCAAAAACCTAAACGTAAGACTTAAAACTATAAAACTCTTAGAAGAAAATATACCAGGAAAAGCTTCATGACAGTGGATTCTGCCATGATTTCTTAGATGTGATACCAAAAGCACAGGAAATAAAAAAATAAATAAATTGGACTACATCAAAATTTAAAACTTCTGGGGCCAGTCCCGTGGCCTAGTGGATAAGTTCGGCACACTCTGCTTCGGTGGCCCAGAGTTTGGTTCCTGGGTGCAGACCTACACCATCTGTCAGTGGCCATGCTGTGGTGGTGACTCACATACAAAAACAGAGGAAGATTGGCACAGATGTTAGCTCAGGGCAAATCTTCCTCAGCAAAAAATAAAAATTAAAAAATTAAAAATTAAAACTTTTGTGCATCAAAAGACACTACCAATACTATCAAAAAGACAACCCACACAGAATGGGAGATGATATTGCAAATCATATATCTGATATGGGGTTAATGTCCAGAATCTAGAAAGAACTCTTACAACTCAACAACAACAACAAAAAACAAACAAACAGATTCAAAAATGGGCAAAGGACTTGAATACACCTTTCTCCAAAGAAGATATACAAATGACCAATAAGCACATGAAAAGATACCCAACATCATAGTCATTAGAGAAATGTAAATCAAAACCACAATGAGATACCACTTCACATCCATTAGGGTGGCTACTATCAAAAAAAATCAAAAATAAGTATTGGCAAGGAGGAGAGTAATTAGAACCCTTGTGCACTTCTGATGAAAATGTAAAATGTACAGCCACTGTGGAAAACAGTATGATAGTTCCTCAAAATAAAATTACTGTATGATCTAGCAATTACACTTCTGGGTATATACTCAAAAGAACTGAAAACAGAGACTCAAATAAATATTTGTACACTCACGTTCATAGCAGCATTATTCACAATAGCCAAAAGGTAGAATCAATCCAAGTGTCCACTGAGGGACACTTCATAAACAAAATGTGGTGTGTGTATCTATATAATATACATATAAAATAAATACATATATTTATATATATAAAATGGACTATATATAATGGAATAATATTCAGCCTTAAAAAGGAAGGAAATTCTGGGCCGGCCCCTGGCTTAGCAGTTAAGCGCGCACGCTCCGCTAATGGCGGCCCGGGTTAGGATCCCGGGCGCGCACCGACGCACCGCTTCTCTGGCCATGCTGAGGCCGCATCCCACATACAGCAACTACAATGATGTGCAACTGTGACATACAACTATCTACTAACTAAAAAAAAAAAAGGAGGAGGATTGGCAATAGATGTTAGCCCAGAGCCGGTCTTCCTCGGCAAAAAGAGGAGGATTAGCATGGATGTTAGCTCAGGGCTGATCTTCCTCACAAAAAAAAAAAAAAAAAAAAAAAAAAAAAAGGAAGGAAATTCTGACACATGCTACTACATGGATGAATCTTGAGGATTATGCTAAGTGAAATAAGCCAATCCAAAAAGACAAATACTGTATGATTTCACTTGTATGAGGTACCTAGAGTAGTCAAATTTATACAGACAAAAAGAAGAATGGTGGTTACCAGGGGCTGGGAAGAGGAGGGAATGGGGAGTTACTGTTTAATGGGAACAGAGTTTCAGTTTTGCAACATGAAAAAGGTTCTGGAGATGGATGGTGGTAATGGTGGTGACGATGATGACAACAATGTGAATGTATTTAACGCCACTGAACCATATATTTAAAAATGGTTAAGGGCCAGCCCTGTGGCTTAGCGGTTAAGTGCGCGCGCTCCGCTACTGGTGGCCCAGGTTCGGATCCCAGGCGTGCACCAACACACCGCTTCTCCGGCCATGCCCAGGCCGCATCCCAAGCAACTAGAAGGATGTGCAACTATGACATACAACTATCTCCTAGGGCTTTGGGGAAAAAGAAAGGAGGAGGATTGGCAATAGATGTTAGCTCAGAGCCGGTCTTCCTCAGCAAAAAGAGGAGGCTTGGCACGGATCTTAGCTCAGGGCTGATCTTCCTCACAAAAAAAAATAAATAAAAATGGTTAAAATGCCAAATTTTATGTTATGCATGTTTTACAACTAAATTAAAAAAACAAACAAAAAAATCACTCTGAAGTAATAGATGCAATGTTATGGAACTGAAGTGCCTACACTTCCAACTTCAATTTTATCATCATACAGGTAATTTTTTATGTTTAGTCAATAACCACTGCCAGGTTCATGCTAATTGAGCCCCTGAAGCATTCTGAATTAAGGTAAATATCAAGTAAAGAAAACCAACTCTCAGTCCATAGTTACAGGCATTTCCTGGGCAATAGATTCTCTTAACTCACCTATGTCAAGAATTCTGTCTCCAGGTCGGTTCCACCTCCAGCCCTCCAGCTGCTGATGTTCAGTGTATTGTAGCCGTCTGTCATGGAACACTACACGGAATATACTCTAAAAGAAAGCAACAAAATCAAATGATAACAAGATCCCTTAAAAATCAGTGCCAACAAAGGAAAACTAGCAGGGGTCACCCCCATGTGTTTTCTAGAATTATTATAATAATTATAATATAACATATATTATATATAATTATAATTATAAACCTATATAATATAAATTAAATATAAATATAATTATAATATTAAAATAAATTATTATAATAATTCTAAAATTATTTTTCTTAAGACCTGTTCACTCTAAAACCCATATCATGGGGGCGGGCTCGGTGGCGTAGCAGTTAAGTGCGCGCACGCCACATCAGTTCGCAGGTTCGGATCCCGGGCGCACATCGACCCACCGCTTGTCAAGCCATGCTGTGGCGGCGTCCCATATAAAGTACAGGAAGATGGGCACGGATGTTAGCCCAGGGCCAATCTTCCTCAGAAAAAGGAGGAGGATTGGCATTGGATGTTAGCTCAGGGCTAATCTTCCCCAAAAAAAAAAAAAAAAAAAAAAGACTAAAAATAAAAATAAATAAATAAATAAAACCCATACCATACCAAGCTCTATTTCAGGGTAAATTTGATAATTGCTCAGACATAATCGTTATAGTTAACTGGTACCTTATTTAAAACTTGGCTTACACATCAGTCCTAATGGTAGCTAGGCATAAAGGACTCCCGTCAGAAGCATTTCTACATGCCTCTACTGTTAGTTACCAAGTAATGTCCAGCTCAGCTCTTCAGATGTATATGAAAAACTCACCAAGTCCCCTGCTTGCTAACCCACGATACAATCTGTAAACACCAAGGGGAGGTAGGGGCTGTTTCATCAACTCTCCTTTTGTTACTTTTACTTTGTGGAGGTGCCTATTAATATCCCTCTCACCACCTTTTACAGCACTGGCCAAACTCCTCTGTCCCAATTGTGCTGTGAAGTCTTAAAGTCATTAATGTCAGTCTAGACTAAGAAAACTGCTATTCATCAACAGTCACTTCTGTTGTCATTGCTTCTAGAGTAAGAATCCAAAGAGACACTGGAGCATCTCTAAAGATCTCAAGGAGATTACTTTATTCCACCCGAAAAGAACTTCACTGAGCCAGGAGACTACCCTGACATGAAGTGGTAAGCCTTCTGTTTCTGCAGCTCTGGAAAATCCATGTGAAAAGGGGGGCACACTATGACCCTAAAGAAATAACACATGAGTTTACCACTCTGCCAGCAAATTGTGGCCAGGAAGACATACCACCAAGCCCTTTATGGAGGCAAAAGAATATTATCCAAAAAGGGTCAGTAAAAAGATATGTGCAAAAGAATGATTTATTCATTTTCTTTTACCTTCACCAATTTGCCATTAATTTCTGGAAGTTCTCCAAGTTTCCTATTGTCTAGCATTCGGATTTCATAAGACTGCCCTAGAAGAAAAAGTAATTACATATTACATTCATCACAAATTAACTTTTGCAAGATTCAGAAAGAATTCAGTTGGTTGACTATACAAGAGTATAATATTATTAGTAACAACAACTAATTTCATACATATGTTTTTTTTTTTTTGAGGAAGATTGGCCGTGAGCTAACATCTGTTGCCTATCTTCCTCTTTTTCTTTTTTCTCCCTAACGCCCCAGTACATAGTTGTATGTCCTCGTTGTAGATCCTTCTAGTTCTTCTATGTGGGACGCTGCCTCAGCATGGCTTGATGAGTGGTGAGCAGGTCCATGCCCAGGATCTGAACTGGCAAACCCCAGGCCGCCGAAGCAGAATGCACAAACTTAACCACTACGCCACCAGGCTGGCCCCATACATTATATCATTTAATTGATATAATTCTCTAAGGTATTATCAATCCCATTTTAATTGAAACTTAAAGAATATAAGTAACTTGTCTAAGACCACAAAATTGGCAAATAATAGAGCTGGGTAGGGTAATACTTCTCAGACAGTAACCAATATCCAGTAATCCATGTCCAGGCAACATGGATTAGAAAGAAAGAGGGAGATGGGAACTAATAATGGGCAGATAGACAAAAGAAGCCAGTAATATATACATCAAATATGACATTAAACTCAAATCTCTGAAGTAAGGCTTTGACTGTGACAGGTCACACTAGAAAGATATACTTTTTACATGTAAGTGTACCTAATAAAATATGATGAATCCAGCAAGTCTGCAATAATACTAACAAATAAGGATGCATCTAACCTTGATTGAGATATGTCAGGGTTTCATCATGGAGTTTCACTGCTGGAGAGGTGGCAGCACAAAGCACATATTGGAAAGGTAATATTTTATTCTCATTATCAGGAGGCAAACTTGACTCTTCTTGCTTAAAAATGGGTAATGCGAGGACATCACTGAAATAAAAGAAACAAATGACTTACGTTAACATCTGACAATGGTGCAAGAGAAGACTTATGGTTGAAACAATTTAACAGCAATTTGCTTTGGGAAATCATAAACATTACTCACTTTGGTGGAGTTTCATCTGAACCATTCAGTTCAGATTACCTGCTGTGATGTCCCCCTGACCACAACAATGTGGGCAATGACAGATATTTACTGCTAAAACTACCTAAGTGTCCAAAGAGAACATTTCTAGGAATTATAAACTGGGGTTCCTAAAAGGGCTCTAAAAACTGTATGCAGAGTTCCAAAATGTCAATTTAAGACACTCAGAAACGTATCTGAGAAAAGCAGACTCAGAAAGGCACGAACTACAGTATCTTTATAACCACATCACCTGATCTAAGGACCAAAACACGAGTCAAAATTCCTAGAAGCTACATGAAAAGAACACATCAATGACAAGAATATATTTCAAGGTCAGCTTACATTCTGTGGAATACAACTAATATTGAGATATCACTACCAGCCACCTCCTCCAAGAAAAAGCTTCTATCAGTGTATCTAAACTTGCAAACCAAAGATACACATCCAATGAATTCTAGTACGTTACTCATTCCAAAGTTCTAGTGGAAGAGTACAGCAGTGCCCCCTTATCCATGGTTTCGCTTTCTGTGGTCTCAGTTACCCACGGTAAACTGCAGTCCAAAATTATTACATGGAAAATTCCAGAAATAATTCATAAGTTTTAAATTGTGCACCATTCTGAACAGCACGATGAAATCTTGCACTTTCCTGCTCCTTCCCGCCCTGGAGGTGAATCATCCTTTTGTCAAGCATAACTACACTGTATAGTTACCCACCCATTAGTCACTTAGTAGCGGTCTAGGTTATCAGATTGACTATCACGGTATCGCAGTGCTTGTGTTCAAGTAACCCTCAGTTTATTTAATAATGGCCCCAAAGCACAAGAGTAGTGATGCTGGCAATTCAGAGATGCCAAAGAGAAACTGTTGTTGTTAATCTCTTACAGTGTCTAATTTATAAATTAAACTTTATCAGAGGTATGTATGTATAGATAAAAACAGTATATATTGTGTTCAGTACTATCTGTGGTTTCAGGTATCCACTGGGAGTCTTGGAACGTATCCCCCATGGATAAGGAAGGACTACTATACTGGACTAGGTTAGAAGTCCTGGGTTTTAGTCCCTAAAACCATAGGCAAATCTTAGGCAAGCTCTCTTGAGTCATCATTCCTTCATCTATAAAATGGGAACCACATTTGCTGTCAAGAATAAATATACGACAAAATATTTTGGAAACCATAGGGGCTAAAACAGATGTAAAGGATTAGCAATAATTTTCCCTCATAAATTCTAGCCATAGATTAGTGAGGAAGAATATCCTGGGCCTTGGAGATCTACTGTCATGATCAGCATTCACCCCAGACCAAGCTTTAAAAAGATCTTAAGAGATGTACCAAATTAAAGAGTATTTCCAATTATCTCAAGACACACCACAAAATTCTCAAAATAAAATGTATTTTAATTTACTTTAAAGAATATGTATATGCACTCACTAGAACAGCTAAAATTAAAAAAAAGAATGACAACCCAAATGTTGGCAAGGATGTAGAACAATCAGAACTCTCATCCTTTGCCAGTAGGAATGTAAAATGATACAACCACTTTAGAAAAAGGGTTGGCAGTTTTCTTATGAAAGTAAATATACATCTGCCCTTTGATCCAGCAATTCCACTCATAGGTATTTATCCAAGAGAAATGAAAGTATAAGTCCACCCAAAGACATGTACATGAATGTTCACAGCATAAATTAAAAAACTGGAAAGAATCCAAATGTTCATAATTAAGACAACAGATGCACAACCTGTGGTAGATTCATACAATGGAAAACTACTTGGCAAAACAAAGAAATGCAACAACATGGATGAATCTCACAGACATGACACTGAACAAAAGAAGCTAGACGAACAGAATATATAATCTATGATTCCACTTATACAATGTTCTAAAACAGGCACAGTTAAGGAGAAGAGCAGTTTCCTGGCAGGGCAGGGATTGACTTGGAAGGTCTACAAGGGAACTTTCTAGGGAGATAAAAATGTTCTACACTATGTTAGCTGTGTGGGTTACATGGTCATAACTGTACAGCTGAAATTTGTGCATTTCAACATACATAAATTTTACCTTAAAAAAAAGAAATTATTGAGTGGAGGACGGTAAATGGTCTAAATGATAAAACAGTAGCAGCATGTTGTAATTTTTAAAGCTTGGGGATAGGTACAAAGCAGTTCTTTACACTATTCTGTTTATATATGTTTGAAATTTTCTATGACAAAAAATTTTTTTAAAATAGAAAAAATACGTATAGGCCACAAAGTACTTCCAGGCAGAAAAGAAAAGCAATAGATACATGAAATAAAATAAACAATTGAAATTTCCCCCAAAAGTTAGAGGTTAGGGATCTAGAGATTCTTGTCAATATTCCCCACATTCAAAATGAAATACACTCAAACCTTTACCTATAATTTAAAAATTATAATTACAATATAAAATAAAGAGACCAAAATCCATTTTACTATCCACAGATGAAAAGCAATTCCTGGGCCGGCCCCGTGGCTTAGCGGTTAAGTGCTCGCGCTCCGCTACTGGCGGCCTGGGTTTGGATCCCGGGCGCACACCAACGCACCGCTTCTCCGGCCATGCTGAGGCCGCGTCCCACATACAGCAACTAGAAGGATGTGCAGCCATGACATACAACTATCTACTGAGGCTTTGGGGGAAAAATAAATAAATAAAAATTATAAAAAAAAAAAAAAAAAGAAAAGCAATTCCTTATACACACTTATATCCCTCAGCAGGATACAAACACTCTCCCCAAATATTAGATTATAGGGTCATTACATTCAGGAAAAAAAAAACCATTGAGAGAAAAATGATTGCACTTGTGTGAATCTTACAGGCAACATTTTATAAATTTTTATTGGAAAACAATACAAGAAACAAATGTTCTGATCATTGGCCTAATAATCCACATAGAAATAATAAAAATCTAATGGCATGAATGCTAAAAAAAAAAAAAAAAGAGTGAGGGGAGTTAACACAGGGCCAGTCTTCCTCAACAAAATAAAAAAAAAAAAAAAAAGAGTGGGGGAGAGAGAAAGAAAAGAAAGAAATTTCTCTTTCTGCTGATGTCTAAATAGCAAGGTTATATGTTATTAATTGAATCCAGGCAGCTGAGATGCAAACCAGTTTTTATGAAACACAAGTTTCTTTTTGCTAAAAAATATTTCAAAGGCCAGAAAAACAAAGAGTGCTTTCCTCTTCCTTAGGCCTGGAGGAGTGTGTGCTTTGCTCATATGGGTGGGGTTAAGAGTGCAAAAGGTGGGGAATCCTTCTTTCTGTCCATATTAATTTGTCAGGGGAAACATACTATTGTTCCCTTGAGATTATATGAAACTGTAGAAACACGGGGTTTTCTAGAAAAGTTCTCTGTCTCAGTGCTTCCACTTCTCAAAATCAGGAAACTACCATCTCTCCCACAGCAAATAGTATCAAAAATAAAGTAACACTCTACAAAACTTAAGAAACATGTTAGCCTTTGGGAGACTTCGTTGCCATATCATTCTCAAATACATCACATCTGATGATTCCTTGAAAGATTAGTGAAGATTACCAGGAATCAAGGCAAATCGGATTTTGCAACATAGCAACAGCTCAACCTTTACAAATGCAGGATTGTTTTTTTTCTTCTCAAATGTCAGTGCCTGGTGAGGGTAATATATGGCAACAGTTCCTAGTCTTCTCAACATAACGTGGCATTACACCTAACCCCTCATGACTAAGCAAAGGACTGTCATTTGAGGCTGGAATTCTAAAATTGATTCTAAAAGTCATCCCTAAAATTAACTCAGTACAGCCAAACCAAATACACAAAACTATATTTTCTCATCTGAGATTTTAAGTCTAAAAACCTCACATATATTTGAATTACTCATGTTCTTGCAACACTGCATTTCTTTTGCCCTGCTGTGGGAGCAAGAGTACCATTCAGTCCCATACTCCTAGAGACAGAAGCTAAAGGTCACTGGTGAATACAGCTCTGGGCCCTGCTTATAGCAAAACAATGACAAACAGATTCAGCAAGAAACAAATTTGGAGATACAGAAGTCTGCTCTTTCTCAGAGGCAAGCTGAGTATAGATTAGGAAAACCTACTCTGGCAGACTCTAAGTAGTTGCTACCAACGTATAATTTAGCATTTTACTATATTCTCTGATTGCTTCATGTATTTAATTCATTCCAATGAAACATAAGCTATTCGAAGGAATAACTTCTCTTTTATGTGCTTAGTAAATATTTGTTGGTATAATTTATATTTTTGTTTGTTTGCATTCTCCGGAATACTCAACCCTAATACACTGTGATCATTTTGGAATTCTCAACATCTCATAGTATCTCTGATTAAATATAAGGATATAGAAATCATACCTGTTAAACAGACAAATTAAGTATATGTTAAAAATGTGCACCGCTAAGTGGAAATCCACACCTGAGAGTGGAGGCATAGCAGAAAGCATCTGAGTGGAAGGAACAGAGGAACAGAAGCAGTATCAGGAGGGATCTTTCCTGTATGTAACTGGGATTCCATGAAGAGCTGCTTCATGGTCCCCTGAGGTATAAATTACTCTTCTGAGATAAGACAGCTTCCGAATGGTCTCTGTGAATTAACAGCTATTGTTTAGCCTTCTCCTTCAGGCCTACCAGCTGTTGAATGCCCTCCTCTAGTGAGAGCCTGGAACATAGAGAGGGAGAGATTTGATGAGCTCTACCTTGAGTAAGAAAGGCAAGCAGACAGGTGTCCATAGCATCTAAGGAAATTAGAAACTAACTTGAGATAATAACATATCACGAACTTCTAATTTCCCTAATTATAATCCTCATTTGGACTCCACCATGATGAAAATAAAACATTTGAAACAAAACAAGTC